TAGAATTAAAACTCAATAATATTTATTATTACAACAAATCTGCAATGCCATAAAAACACAGAAAATGTTTTCAGGCTACTAAAACTAAGGAAGAGACTTAAACCCCATGTTATTTTACATAATAGAAAGTAAATGGTAAACTACAACTACTTCTATAGATCACACGTTTTAAAATGGCTTTGATAGTATAGTCTGTGTTTCTATTCCACACAACCATAAGTGTACATTGATCGATTTGTAAAAGCTCAAGTTTATAAGTACTTTATCCTTGTAGTTTGTAAGCTATCCCACTTAGCTCTGCTGTTGCTAATGTTCTTTCAGATAAATGGCTAATGCACAATCTTTTATGTGAGAGGAGCCGTTAAAACTCTCACTTGAGTGCCCCTCGCCACAAGAACATCAGCACTAAAGGTTGTGGCTACAAAAGATGGTCTTTCTTTTCCCTGACAATGATAAAGGTTCACCCTGTTAAAGCTTGCTCTATGTGGTAGAAATATGCTGCAAACACTGGATATTAGACAAGAAAGGATTTAAAATTATGTCCGCTTATTTAGCCAATGCTTAGATTTTTTTATAACATTCCCCCTTTGTCAAAAAACACAATCTGTACGAGAGGAGGAGTTCAGTATCTTCACAAGCGAAGGAAAGATGTAGCGTGAGATTGACAGATGGATCTCTGCACCGATGCAGCACCTGTATCAGACTGTTGTGAAGAGGGAGCAGCGTCTGCAGTCAGAGCTGTATCAGACTGTTGTGGTGAAGAGGGAGCTGAGTCAAGGCAAAGGCAAATCTCTCAAAATACCGGAGTGGCTAGGCACTTTTTTCAAATTACTGGAGTGCCTGGGGTTTGGAGCTCAGTCACATGGAAGGAGCTCGGTGTATAACTGCTGCTCCTCCACAGTGAATGGTTGAGGTGGCTCCCACGAGGAGAGGGTCCCTGGGGAAAACTTAGACGGAGCTGGATGGACTATGCCTCTCAGGTGGCCTGGGAGCAACTGATTCCCCACATGAGCTGGAGTAAGTGTGGGTGGATAGGGAAGTCTGGCCATCTCTTCAACACGGATAGATCAGATGAAAATGGATGGATCTGTATTGTTTCCCAGATTGGTGGTACTTTCCTAAACCCTGTTGGCAGTTCCAACCGTCTGCCCCACCAAGATAACTCTTGAGTTTGCCAAGTAATTCAGAAGAAAAACCAGAAGAGAGCAGGGCACACGGCATGGCAGGAGGATGGCCAGACCAAAGACCACCATCTCCCAGACCATGTGGAAGTATGTATGGAAGTGTTGCTCTCTAGCACTAGACATTGTCTAGACTCTGCAATAGATTTATGTATTGTTGTGAAAATCAAATTCATCAGAATGGTCTTAAAGAGTGCTTTTATTGGTTTGTGCTGTGTTACTAAATGTAATGGTCCAGCTTCTTGGCCCAGGAGCATGAATTCAGAATGCATATCGGCTTATTCACTGCCCGGGAAAGACACTCTTGATGATGCTCCCAAAGGCATATGTTAAGAATAAAATTCATGACATAAGGCTTATATCATATTTTAGAATAGTTTGGCAGGGATATTTTTCTGTAGCTACCCCTGTGTGTGCATGTGCCATTTATCATCCTCTTTGGATTGGATTTCTCTTCATACTGAATTAATAGCTGCTCAGTAATAAAGAAAAACGATAGGTTAAACGATGTGTGTATCTTGACACAATCATGCACCACAGTTAAATAAGCATATTTGAATGAAGAAAAGAATATTTGAATATTGTACATGTGTCATCTAAAGTCTAGGAGCTACATCACTTTGTAGAGTTTGAAAGCACTGTTTTGATTGAACCTGTGCCTGAGAGTAAAGGGTAAAAGTGCTTTTGATTGAAGGATGAAAGTGACGAAGGCCTCTGGTCGGAGGCAGGACGTGACATGCAGAGTTCCCCAGGAATGTGTGACAATGGGTCTGCGTGAGAGATTTACAACACAGGTCCTGTCAAAGAGTTTGTGCAACTGAAAGGAAAAAAACAACAGCAGGTTGTGTGTTCAGGAAGCGTGCTTTTTTCAGATTTGTCATTTGTCCCCTTGATTTGGGTTGGTGCTATATTTTTCTATAGTGAGGTAAATGCATTGTTTAGTCATTTGAATAAAAAACACAACCGTACAGTGCATTTAGAAAGTTTAATGTATGACTTGCTGTTTGTTCATTGTGACAGTAGTAGTAGAAGTTATTAAATAGTGTGCAAAATCAATCTCATTGTTGACCAGACCTTGCTGACCTGGTCTCTTCTGCTTTCTTTTTTATTTTAGTATTTTTCCGTGTAAAAAGGTACTGTCTGTCTAGAGGACATCCATGTAGAAAAGGCTTTTAAAGGAGTTGGTGATGGCATTTACATGTGCACTCCTGTGCTCTGTAACAATGTAAAATGGATTTAAGTCAAATACAATCGAGTATATTTCCTCCCAATGCCACTAGAACCAGTCGGGAGCAGTGGTCATTCCAGTGCAGCTCTGGGGACCCATCTCCTGGTGTTGATGCTCAGATTGGTCTGGACCTTTGCTGGAGGCTTTTACCTGTATGTGTTTCAAATGGTTATTATTCAGTTTTGGGTTTTTTATGGACTTCTATAGCCAACCCTCTGTGAGTGAAAGTGTGTATATTAATAATATTGCTATGATTTATTTAAACCGTGACTGTTTTAAGTGAACTGAAATCCATTGTTAGGGGATTGAAATGGGCAGGAGCACTGCTGTGGTGCGCTGGTGCGTACCATCTTCTCTGTCAGGTGCACACTGCGGGAGTCTTTTCCAATGTGGTTTTATGGCAAATAAATTCTTTAGTATTGAATCTAGATTTCAACAGCATTGATAGACTTTAACTTGAATTATCTAAAGTATGTAGAAAATAAAACATTTTGTTTTCTTGAAATCTTCATGTTTCTGTCCAGCTGAGAATTTTCTTGTTTAAAAGTTTTCATTTTTGTGACCGTCTCTAGCAAAAGCCATATTACGCTCAGGTTTTATGCCATTTTTCACACCATGATCTGCTTCTGCAAACTCATCCAGACGCCATGTGCTGCTGAGCTCCTGGTTCACAACTCAAATGTATTTTAGAAGCTGTAGATCGTCAGTTCTTCTTCGGTCTTGTTAGAACAAAAACAGTGCTAACAAATTCCTCACGCTGGCGTCATGAATCTCACTTCCTCTCTATTTTTAACCTGCTGCTGAAGGTGAAGAAACGGAATAAAATCCAGTGGTGGATGTCTTCCGCTCATGTTTGCACGGATCAGACAAACTTTTTCGCTGTGTTATGTAACCTGTTTCATGTTGCTTCTCTTGGCTCTTACCTCGGCACCAAAATAAAGTTTGGAATTTGAACCAATTTAAGATGGTATTCGGAACTTTCCTGGTTTGATATTTGTGTTTTTGAACAGCAGCAGCTTGGGTGGATTAGCTTGACTCATAGTTTAATAATTGATGGATTGTAGTGTAGATATTTTGAGATTCCTCGTCTGTTCATTTGCAATAACGTTTAAGAATTGAGTTGAGTTAAATTTTTCACTTTTATGTACATCTTTGCTTGATTTTGTTCCAGTTCAGGCCGCTAAATGAAAATTGTCAATTGTTTATTCCACTATATATCTAAGTCATGCCTCAAAAAAAATGTTGTATTGCAATGTCTAGTTGTGGTTCAAATCCGACTCCGGACATAAAAATTGTTTATGAGCCGGAAGTTGCTGATTCCATGCCTGTATGTCATCACTCTGCAATGAGAACAAAGTTTAATGTACATTGAAAAACAATATATGTAAATAATCTTTTTTACCCTTTGAGCTCAACAAATGTGTCGTAATGGACCAATGCTTGCTTGTATTATAAATTAGGAAAAGTTTCTGGTTTTACTGCACACTGCGCCCCATTGTGGTCAGGCAGACACATGGCACGCATCGCACACAAAGCCCTGTCTGTCTGAGCCTGGATTAAAATGTGTTTGATAAAAGATCTGTCTCAAGTCTGGCCTTGTCCAGCGATGTCTCTTCCTCCCGCTCCTCCTCCTCCTCCTCTGTATTAATCTGTTTCCTTGACTATTTCATGTTCTTAATTATCATGCTTTATCTTGGTGCTTCCTGTTCTGACTCTCAATCGGTTCTTTTATTTCGGTATGTAGTTGCACAATATGAATGTTTGGTGTAAGTATTAAACAAGCAAAACCAAAGAATCTGCCAATATTTGGGAAACAAAATATATATTGACATTTTGTTGATTTTAAATTAAGTCTCATTCACATTTACATTTTGGACCATCTATTCTTGGACAAATTACATATATTTCAGATATTATTACGGATAAAATCAAAGATCTTCCAAACTTACCATTGCATTGGTGTTCCTATTGCTGTAATCCTTCATTGTGAGAATTATTGTACTACTTTTTTTTTTACCAATAAGAATGAGAACATTTAATATTGAAATGTTTTTGAATGAGTTACATGTTTGTGCCAGTATAGATGGCTAAAAAAAAATCAGTCTCTTTTTGATTGTTATTTGAAACAATTTTGTAACATGGTCTAAAACCTAAAAAATAGTGCCCCCTAACCCATTTTAAAAAGGAGTCATTTATCCTCGTGGATTTTTTCACAGTTTGCCATATCCTACTTATTTTAAAGATGCGCAATCAATGTAACTGTTCTGCCACACTTCTTTCAATGTTCTTGTTTTTTTCATTGTAGCAATAGACAACGATTTACAATGGAAACAAGCAAGGGACATTGAGTTATAGCAATGGATCTAACAATGCAATGGACTGTAAGAATTGGGTTTTTGAGGTAGTCTGTAGTTAAATGTTGAACAAGCTTAATACCAAACATGAATACCACACACATACCTTCATTGTTTAGCCATGCAATGTCATAGGAGGGTCTTTATTTTTTGTTTTCCTGATGGTGTTTGGTGCTGCTGTTCTCCCTGCTTCTGTTCTAACCCTGGTGCTGGTCTTCCCCTCTCCTCTCAGCGTGAATGGAGCAGTGTGCGAGTACAGCCTCTCTGCTGGCCTCAGTGCGGGAGCAGGAGAGGCAGTTTGAGATGCTGAGTCGAGCCCTGGAGGAGGAGCGCAGGTCGTGTGCCGGCACCCTGCCCCGCCCCCTCCCCCACATGCAGGTAAAGAGGGTAACACCCCCCCCTGAAAAAGATACATCCATCCCATCTGAACCATCAACATCTGCATCTGTGTCCAAGAGACGTCCATCTGCATCATTGTCCTTCATCTCATCCGTCTGAAGCACTAACACTGGAGAAAACTCCTCCTCCAAGGGCTTTAACAACTGTTTATTTAAATCTTAGTGTAAATAATGGCACTCGATTACTGGACACTGCAGTACATGATCTTTACTTGCTGGCCTAAAGACCTTTTATATCAAACAGAGAAACACTCATAAAACTAAGTCGAATAAGCACATTCAAAATATTAAGTACAAATTATTTTAGGAATAAATTAATAATTCCTTTTTATTAGTTCCACAGTGGGGAAATTACAATCCTGATCTTGAATCTCCTGTAATGCTCTGATACAGTATTGTTAAATCAGATGTGGGGCCGATTTTGGACATTTTGTTACAATATCAAAATATTATCAAACCAATACTCCATTGTATCAGCAGATATTCATTTAAGGACTTTTTAGTTGATGTAACAAGTCCTATTTCCTTGCCCACAACTAAACCCAGATCGTTGTAAAGTTTTAATATATTCTTAGACAACGTTGTTCTGTAGTTTCTGCAGGATAAATAATAGTTAAAAACACAATTGCACACATTTTGTATCTAGTAAGCTGTTACTTAGGTAAAAATTCTATTTTATGAATCCAACGAGGAACCAATGAAATCAAAGTCAGGCTGTTTTTAAAGACCCAACTGTATTATATTTGCTACAATTAATGATTAGTATATATTTTTAACTGAATGTGGAATTTTGTTGTTTTAGAAGAATAGGCACTTTTGACCTTTCTTCCACTCAGTGTCACTCATCAAAGGAGACTCACTTCAGCTCCTGCTCTGTCCACAATTTTCACTTTCGAAGAGAAAGTGGCGTTTTTCTGTTGTGGACAGAAAACTCTCGAGTCTAAAGTGTCAACACTCCAGTGAGATCAGTACAGTAACAAATCCCAAAGCACCACTTGTGCCCCTTTCAGCCCAAACTTTGAAAACAAACTAAAGTTAAGAGGCATGTAAAGTCAGTGTCCAATAAAATGACAATATTTGAGAAAATCCAACAACTGTTAAAGCCCTTTTTGAAAGGATCGGCTTTTTTGTATTTGCAGCTTGTCATTGTTGTGTATTAAACCTAGAGCTAACCCGATGTGACTTTCCTGTTTACTGTGTGTTTAATAATGAGCATGTGTCGGAATGTGCTGTTTGCTTTTATACAGATCACTGCCACAAATCAACAAACTTCAGCGTATTTATCAGTAGTGTTGTCGCGTCTCAACTCGCTCTTTCGGCTTTGATTTTTCTGATAAAGTGTCCCCTGGTGCAGTCTACGCCTCCTTGTTCTTATCATGTGACGCTCCCCTTTGAATCAGACAAGTGACTTCATGCTTTTTGCTGAACGCCACACCCACAAACCCCCAGTGTCCTCCCTGACTATTGACACACTGCACTCACGAGCATTTTATTGCAGCCTTGGCAGGTATGTTTGCCAGTGCAATGTGTTCATGTGATGTAGTTACAGACAGGCGTAGGCAAAGTCGTGGTTCGTTAGATTCTGATTCAATATGCCAAAAACACACACTGGACCGTGGCTTTTCCAGGATGGTCAGAAGAGTCATTGTTGATGATTTAAAAGTCTGGATTCATACAAGCAGCTCAGTCCTTTTAGCAGAGCGGATGACCTTGTTTTTGAACTCTTTTCTTTGGTTGTGATGTGGCTGACCTACACAGTCAAAGATCACAGGGTTAGTTGTCAAAATGTTTTAACATATTTCTTCTGTTTGTCTACGTTCAATACAACCTGGTACATTCTTTTATTGGTCCTAAAAAGTAACAAAAAGACTGTTCGCATCAAACGTTTTCATTTTTGTCATCCCTTTCCATACAAAATACCTATTCAAAGATTTGCTTTCTGAATCCACCATAACTGACCACATATAGAAGTAAATGTGTTATTTTATGACAACCACTGTCTGTTACTGCACATTCCGGTGTGAATTATTCAGCCGATTTCCTGAAAAGCACTGCAGTATGTGTTATTCTTATTTTCATAACAATCACAACTGTGCCTGTGAGTGTTGATGCTACATTCCTTCATTCTCATTTTCATTGACTTTAGTGACACTAAAACATCTTTTAATAAAAGTTGTTAAATTTCACTTGACCAAACCTGGAGCTTCACAAGGAAGGAGCAGGGAGGAGGAATTTTCACACGTTGCTGCTGCTGAGGCTGAATACAGATAGCTGCAGATACTTTACCATTGGAACTGGCAATTCAATCAGAAAGGAATTTGTGATTTCTGTTATTAAAATGCCAAGTATTAACATAAACACATTAGATATACAATGGCTTTATAATTAACCACACTCAACGTTCAAAAGCAATATTATATTTTAACACAATTGTCCAGATCTATATATAGTCCATGGTCACAACTCAGGTCTGATTATAATAACAGTGGGGGCGGGTCCCGTCTCAAAAGTGGCCAAATTGACGTGCTCTGACATGCTTGCAATACCGCCCCGGGCCGATGGGGGTGGACCAGGAATAAGAATTAGCCAATGCTAACATATAGCATCTTCTTACCTCTCAAAAACGTCTTTACAGGATGGTCCAAAAGTTGGCTCTTGGCCCAAAGCTCCGTTCCACATGTGTGTCAGTGCTGAGGGGGGTGGATCTTTTTCACAAGTCTAGTTTAGTCGCTTTGAATTTTTAAAGGCACTCATTTAAATGAATGTGGCTCGTGCCGGCTTATGCATGCGCAGATCACATTTTCCTGCCCCCTTTTGAAACTGCCCATAGCCCATTAATATTTACAGTCAATGGATTATAAGGATAAATAAACTACTATATTCTCACATTTTAGCTGTGATTTTTTTATTTATTTCATATGTATGGTCTGGAAGTTAATTTACTCTGAACAAAATCAAACTTATTTTGAAGCTACAGGCAATTGACAACGGCTTCACATTAAATGCGTTGCCAAAGTCATGCTCATTTCATAGGTGAGTAGTGGGCGTGTAGCTTGGCCCTCTGTTAGCATTAGCCTGTTATCTGCAGTGTTTACATAGCCCAGAGGCTCCAGCATGCCTCAGCCACTCTCCCAGGCAGCGGCCCAGAGCTCAGCCTTCACTGACAGGTTCCCACACGCTCACATCTGCCCTCCACTTTATCCCTGGGATCTCATGTCTCGAGTTTCTTTGCCCAAACCTGTAAATTGTGTTTGCATAGTGTTCTCAGACATGGGTGCATGTTTTTGAACAGGTTGGATTTGTTCGTTCAATTAGTGTCTCATTTTGATAAAAGCTCCTCTGGTCAATAAAAGGCCTTTGCAAATCCGGAAGTGCTGTTGAGCAATCACAACCCTCTGTCCACTGAGCAGCTGGGACTAACCTGTGTAAGGTGGTGTAGTGAAGAGCGCCCGCTGTGGCTGGAATGGGAAATGCACCACACCCATGTTTCTGTTTGGAGCTGCATTGTTGACGCTTTGTCCATTACTCACTATTTCACTGCATCTATGTGTTTGATCTTCAACATCATCCATTCTCTGCATTCGCTTGTTCCACTTTTGTCATCTCTGCCATTGTTTTGCATTTGCTGTGTTATAAGATGTCATTGTATTGGCTTTTTATGATGAATTTACAAGTAATGTTATGAAAAATCCTCTCGGAAAATGACAATGTGTTATTGTATACATTATAGTTTCAATCTATGATATAGAGAAGGATATTTTTAACATTTTAAACCTCAATATTGAGCTGAAGTTAATTAACAAATGAAACAAGTGCTGACTTTTGTATTCGAAATTGACATTGATTTGCGCCCCCTCCTTTATTATGTCTATATCCCAGTTAACATAGCAGGTCCAGGAAGCTAGCAGATTATTTCATCCATCCATCCATCCATTTTCCAATGCTCTACCAACTGAGCTACTGTCGCCCCAGATTATTTCAATTGTGCCAAATTTCCAAAATTGGTCAGTGGTTCTGTTAATGCAAAATTCTGTCTGCACCTGCGTCACGATTCTCAGGCGATTATGGAATTGGGTGAAACTGCTTCTTCAGTAGTCCCTTGTTTGTCCTCAGGAGTTGCCGGTTAACCTTGGCCGACTGTTTTGACTTTCAAAGCCCCCTCCGCTCATGTTAATGTTTCCTCTCCTCAGAACGGGCGCATTCCTGATGCAGGCCTAGAGCGGCTTACGCTGAACGAGGGTTACATCAACGGGACGCATCACGTAAGCTTCTTAAGAGCCTTCTCAGTTTCACCCGTTGAATTATTCAGCCGTGTTAGTGGAAGTTAATGGTTCTGCTGCTTGTTTGCGTGTAGTTCATGATGGAGCCGGGTCAGCTGGTGCAGGAGTCCTTCAGCGTGGAGGAGCACCCCCCAGAGCTGCCCGTCATCACCGTGGAGACCGGGGATGATGGGACCACGCGCCGCACAGAAACCAATGTAAAAAAACAGACATGGATTAAAATGTGTTTTACATGTGATCATCTCAGGTCTGCTGTTGTAAAGATGGATTATGAGAAGCTTTAATGATCTCCCAGTATTTAAACGTTGCAATTTTTATTATAAGATAAACACAGCATGTTGTGGCTTGATTTGTTCACTGAATGTTGCATAAACAAAGCTCTTTCTGTTTTGACAAAATGTATTTATGAAACTAAACAATGTACTCCAGCTTTAACTTTTCCCTAAAAACAGTTTACATCATGACTTTTTGATATTGAAATATTGCTGACTGGTTGTAGACGGTGGCATGCTGGGGATGTTACTGAGAAACCATGGAATGAACTGGTCCTAACCTCCTTTTACATAACAAATTATTATTAGATAAATTAATACAACTATGTTTATTTAGTTGAATGAAATGGTGTGATTTTTGTGACAAACTTTAGGATGAGGCCAGTACATCCCACTTTACAGTCATTAACACTGGACTGTAACTTTCAATCTTAAATTTCAATCAGGCGCCATTCCACCAACAGAAGTCAAAATAATAAAAACATGTCCAGGCACTTTAAAGAGGGATCGTCTCATGCCATAAATAATATCTTGCAGCAAATAAGAGGAACAACTCCCTAATTCCTTTTGACAGTTTTGGTAAGAACATTACAGTAATAAGTTATATTGAGAATATGAGTAATAGACCTACTGTATGATAACAGTACGTATTATTAGTCCAAAAGCTTAGTTTTCTTATGATCATGCACTTGTATCAAGAAGAGGTTGGACTTGTTGTAGATTCCATTGGACTGTACCACATCTCATAGTTCTCTCTTCTAAACATATTTTTGTGTTTATCATTATCTTCCAGGTAAAGAAAGTGATAAAGACCACTACCACACGCACAGTCATGCCCTCTGTGTCGGACACCATGTCACTGGACGGCGGCGGCTCGATGACCGGGATGGGCTACACCACTCCATACAGGCCGCCACCAGGAGGGCCCATGGACTACCCCACTCACACCGTCCCACGCAACTACCACTATGGACCACCAGGAGGCTACGACGACTACAGAGGCGGACCCCAGGTTGACGCATACACCAGCCTCACGCGAGGAGCCCGTATGGACGATCGCTACAGGTGTGTTTGGTTTCAAGACTTAGACTAAAGGATAGCTATCTTTTTACTATGAATGTCGTTACTACAAAGCGAGGAAATATTAAGATTAAGAGATCCTTTATTTGGAGTAGGAAGGAGGAGCACACAGGTGAATATTAAGTATAGCACATACTTTAAAAATGAAATAAAATGGGTTAAAATGGGCATGAAATATATATTTGTATGTATACATCTCCTAGATATTTACAATTCAAGAATTTTATTTTACAGGGATGTTGTTTGGTCAAATCCGATAGGTTATTTACTCCTATAGTCAGTCAGCGGTTGATGTCACTGTAAAACGGAAGTAGATGGATACCTTACTATACATTAATCATTATAAGAAAAAGGCTACTAATTAACATAGGAGGTTATAAATAAACTCCCCAGCCCCCATCATTCATTTTCACTACAGATCACATATTCATATCAAGCTCACGGCCGCTGATATCTTTTCTTTATAAAACATTTCTTTGGTCTACGTTTCTTTTGATTTAGTGCATATGATTTATAATCCCAGTTGTCTATCTCCAATGGCATCATGCAAGAAATGGCAATTGTTTTACTCTTTGGAGCCAAAAGGCCTGTACATGTATTGCAGAATTTAGTAGTAAGTACATAAACAAAGTAAATCAGAGCAATAGCAGAAAATGGAATGATTGCTCCAACAACTCAGCAGCTACAATCATTGCTCACTAATGTCTTTGTGCTGTGTTTTATCTATGTATTTGTTATTGTGTTCAGACCTGTCCATCCAGACGGTTACAGGACATTGGACCCAAACTACAGAGCGCAAAGCAGAGGCCAGCTGGACCCCTATGCGGCTCAACCACAGGTATTTCAACACTCTCCAGGGCTGTTTGGTGCACGCTCCGTGGGTCTGCTTTAGAGTTTAGTTTATTTACATAGCAGATCTCATCATGTATTCATTGTGTGTGCAGGTGGGACGGGGCAGTGCAATGGAGCTGTCGTCCATTCCCCGGTTCGTCCCCGAGCCCTACGGCCTGGAGGACGACCAGCGCAGCATGGGCTCTTATGAACCCGACTACGGCATGGCACATCCCATGCACTACAGCACAGTGCCCCGCAACCACCACGCCTACCCCCACGGCCCGCCCCCACGACGAGCAGGGTATGACACGACTTATGTGTTTTATGCACTAAAACACGTGTTAAGATTATTAGATGAGGGATAACAAAAGAAAAATTGTTATACGGTTGTTATGTTAATAATTGGCTCACTGTACATCTGCCCTTTAATCCATAGTGGAATTACTACATGATCTCATGACTCCAGGACACTTTCTATACAGTGACATGAACTTCCACAATGTCTCATCACTCCTCTTACATATTCTTTTATGTTTTACATAATCTTGTTTTATGTACTGTACTATGTCTCTTTAGTTTTTAGGGCTCGTTTTGTCTGTTTCATGTAATATTTCAGAAAAGTCTCTGTGTTGTATTCTCATAAGTTCGACCTTTCTGCTCAGTCTGCTTTCACCAGACTAACTTCTAATTGCTTTTGCAGGAGTTACGAGGGCACTTTAGACGGCGACATGAGTGGTCCGGCTGACATGTACTACTGGGGAGGCGCTCCTCTGGCTCAGGGGGAGAGGGGCAGCATGGCGTCTCTGGACAGCACTCTGAGGGTGAACGGCCCTGCTCCCACAGCCTGGCGCCAACCGGAGCTGCCCGAGGTCATCGCTATGCTCAACTACAGACTGGACCCGGTCCGGAGCAACGCGGCCGCTTATCTACAGCATCTCACCTTCAAGAACGACAAGGCAAGCAGGATTATACTGATGGGGTCTAATTGAGACAACATTATGTGCCTCATATATCACCATACATTCATCATTAGGAGTGTGACGATATATCGGTATAACGATATATTGTGATACTTTCTCCTATGCATCCATCCATCCATCCATTTTCTACCCTTTAATCCATTTCTGGGTCAGGGGGGTGGCAATCAGAGATGCCACCCAAGTCTCATAGCACCAGCCCCTCACTGACCCTCTGCAGGTGGTGAGTCCACAGGAGGACGGCTGCTCTCTGAGTGTGAGCATAGCCTTGATCTTTCAGTGGGGGCTTATGGCAAAGTGGGGTTAAGTGTCTTGCCCAAGGACACAACGACAGCAGTCATCAGTGGGAGTCGGTGGAGAAGGTGCAGAGGTGGGAATTGAACCCACGACCTTCTGGCCTTAAGGCCGATGCTCTACCAACTGAGCTACTGTCGCCCCGCGACGCCTATGCATTTGCCAAAAATCGATTTTGAAAAAAAAAAAATATATATATATATGGGGCGACAGTAGCTCAGTTGGTAGAGCAATGGTCTTTGGACCTAATGGTTGTGGGTTCGATCCCACTACGACCCATGTCAACTGCTCCCACTGATGTCTGCTGTCGTTGTGTCCCTGGGCAAGACACTTAACCCCAATGTGCCTGAAGTCCCCGCTGAAAAGACCAAGGCTGCATCTGTGTCGAAGGAGCAGCCATCTTCCCGTGGACCCACCACCTGCAGGAAGATCAGCAAGGGACTGGTGCTGTGTGAATTGGGTGGCAATTCTGATTGCCACCCCCCTGACCCAGAAATGGAAAATAAAGGGATGTAAATGAAATGAAATGAAATGAAATATATATATATAAATACATTACGCATCTCCATTCCATTTATCATGAAAGAAAGTGTATTTTTCACTTCTTTTATTTATGCCATAAATTGGCAGATGGTATATTTCTGACCAATATATCGATAATCTTCATATCGTGATATATTTGTTATCGTGATATAATCGTTATCGTTAGCTTTGTATCGCATATCGTAGCGTATCGTGAGGTACCCTGAGGTTCCCACCCCTATTCATCATTGTCAACATGTTTTTATTTGAAAAAGTACATTATGAAGTTCTTTAAAACTTGTTTCTTGAATACATTTTATTTGCCCCAACAGGAAGACTCTGTGAGGACTGGTACTTTTTGGTACTGGTCCTCTCTGAAAAAGCTGGTCTAAAGATGTGACAGAGGCCAACAATACATGACTAGTTTTGAGAAAAAGGATAGTATTGTTTGTGGTTTGAAAGTTAAGCTGAGGTTTCAGGCACATGTGACATTGCTTCTAAAAAACACCCATTATGCACTTATTGTTTTAATTTGGCACAAGCGAGATGACAATGTAACATTATTAATAAGAGACAGTTTTTCCACTGACATTATCTCAATTAGATTGTTTGTGTTTCCAGGTGAAAACGGATGTGCGTCGTCTCAAAGGAATCCCGGCGCTGGTTTCGATGCTCGACAACCCAAACAGAGAGGTTTGTCCGTTGTGCTTTTTGGTCTAACTTTAATGTGGTTCATTATAAATTAAAGGTGGACGGTGTGACTTTGTCTCCTGGAATTATTTAACATTTATTTCCATTTTATTTTTATTCCATAAAAACAAGACCAATAAGGTGGATTCAATAGGATCACCATTCAGGCCAATGCCCACACTTCATGCCTAAAGTTAAAACCTGTTTATGAATGTGCAGTAGGGATAGTGCTAAAACAATTATATTTTGATTAACAACTATTTTTGTAATTAATGACCGGTGATCATTAACTGCTCTATGTACAGACGCCAAAATGTGACTCTGTTGAGAGATGGTTTTAAGACTTGGCCAGTGCAGCAATTACATTAATAATAATTATCAGACATTGTGTAATTCAATACATTTATATGCGGCGAACTGAGATTAATTTTTACCTTTGCTTTCTGAACAACTTCATCAATCAATAAAAGGAATAACCACTAAATTCATTAATTATAAAGCAAATCATTAGATATGAATGAATGAAAAAGTTACTGCCCTAAATGAGGGTAATGTTTTAATTACATTTGTAATAGACTTCAAGATTCAGTTTGCATTTGTGCACATTTTAAACTAGTCTTAATGTTTTAGTGAACCCAGAACTATGCACCGCTAAACTAACTCTGGAATCAGATTTTAAATTGCAGACATTGATATAGATGACATTTTCTTTTTATCATCCCGTTTTGGCTCATGTGACCTTGAGACATGCTTCAAATACCAAAGTGAATGAGAATAAATAAGCAAATCCTGAAGGTCAGCTGTAATGCCAAAAACCATCTGAGCTCAGAGCATCTGCTGTTTCTTGGACTCCCTCTCGTTTGTCCTAATCTGAGACAAGCGTTTTGCTGATGTTTGCATGGCATTGCCCTCCAAACCACACCATACATTCCTATGGCACAGAGAAAGCTCTTAATTTGACTTTTCATCCTCTATGGTCAGTGATGTTTGAAGCCCAGTGACTCTTTGCCCCAAGAAACGGGTCAAACCACATACGTAGACAGACTGGAAGTTAAGTTTGTATTATGATGCATTCTGTTTTCAGCCTTAAGTTTACAAACAGATAATTAATGGTTATACTGTAACATCACTTAGTCTCAAATAGTTTTTGTAACCAAGATGGAACAGTCGCTTTCACTCCACATGCGCTTGTCCTATTATGATTCCATTCACTGTAGGCTTTCAATGGCCAAGTATAAAGTTTGTTCACATTTTTGTCAATTTAAAGAACATCCGCACTTCTTATCAAGCAATTCTCTCCTTATTTTAGTTAAATTAATGTGCACATTATATACAGTACCTATTATACCATGAAAATGTTATGTTGCCCCATCATCCCTATGCGCTATTGTCTTCAAGTGGTGATTTACCAGCTGCTTGTTTCCATTGCGTTATTATTTCCTGGAATGTATTTTGAGCCATAAAATGCATATAAATGAAAGATTGAAAGTCTTTAATGCTTGACTGTTAAAATATTTTGGCAAAGCAATAGAATAAAACCCAAATATTTCAAGTATTTTTAAGCAATGTATTGTATTATTTGCTGGATTGTTTTTCTAATCCCCATATCTTGGCTGTGATATTTTGACAGATTGGCTGCTTTGTTTCTGGATACTTATCAGTCATACGTTAGCAATAGCTCCAAGCTTGTAACTTGTTCTTTTTTTGCTAATTTCCTGTATTGACCCATATATCCCTTCTCTTGTGGCAGGTTCACTATGCAGCCTGTGGAGCACTAAAGAACATTTCTTACGGCAAAGATGCCGACAACAAGATCGCCATAAAGAACTGTGACGGCGTCCCTGCACTGATCCGACTGCTGCGGAAAACTCGCGACCAAGAACTCACCGACTCCATCACAGGTAGGGGTGGGAACCTAAGGGTACCTCACGATACGATACGATACACGATACAAAGCTCACGATAACGATAATATCACGATAATATCACGATAACGATTTTATCACGATATGACGATTATTGATATATTGGTTAGAAATATACAATATGCCAATTTATGGCATAAATAAAAGAAAAAATACTCTTTATTTCATGATAAATAGAATGGAGATGCGTAATGTAGCCATATATTAAGTATTGATACCAATTAAAAAAACAAATAAATTTTTTTTTTTTTTCAAAATCGATATTGATACTTGGTAAATGCATATCGATAATCAAATCGCGGGAGAAAGTATCGGGATATATCGAAAAATTGATATATCGTCACACCCCTAATCACAGGGTACAAACTTTTTCATGTTTTATGCAACAAAAATAAATTATAACAATATAAATTGTTGTTTGATTGTGCCGACTTGTGAGTTGATGTCACTTACTGCTTTTGTATTTTTTTACCTTTTAACGCGCAATCCTTGAAGTAAGCAATGTATTTTTTTCTTAATTATAGGGTTGTGATGCAGTTTGATGGTATAATCAGTTATTGTTTGTTTGTCATGCTAATTGTTTTTAAAGGATATGAGAGAAAGTTAAACTACGGAATGGCCACGATCTCCAAAAGGTACAGCAAGTATAAGGGTTACAAAAGGATTAAACTTTCAAAATATGTTATTAAAAGAGCCAAAAAAAAACAGATATTTAGAACTTGAAGGTAGTGCAATCCCTGTTCCTCAACCAAGAGTACCCTGTAAAATGTAGGGGAGGATGATATGTTTGGAGGTTGTAATCCACTTTATAACATTCTAAACCAGTCTGATGATGCGACTCTCAGGCACACTGTGGAACCTGTCCTCTCACGACTCGGTGAAGATGGAGATCGTGGACCACGCGCTGCACGCTCTGGCCGACGAGGTGCTGGTGCCGCACTCCGGGTGGGAGCGCGGCAGCAACGGAGCCGGAGGCGGAGAGGAGAACTGCAAACCCCGGCACCTGGAGTGGGAGACGGCTCTGACCAACACGGCCGGCTGCCTGAGGTAAGACAGGGAGAGAGGGCTAAGTGTGGCAAGGGTGGTAAGGTTTACAGCCAAAATGATCTTTGCTTCACTTTTCCCACTGGGTTTAGACTTTTTCCTTGCTGATGCAGTAGGGTCAGTTAGAGTCCAAATCGTTTCCCAGATCGTGATTTGAAAGTTATTAGATTCACAAACTCATTAATTTATTCTTGTCGGCCAACATCATGCATGTTATTTTTTACATTGCCGCCACTCATAGCCTCCATTTATGAGAAAATATTTAGACCATAGTTGATATGTACTGATAAAGAAGAAGTGGATAGACTCAGTAATGACAGAGAAATTTGCTCTCAACTAAGAGAAGGATTTTTCAGCTGCCTTCCACTACAATTTTTAAACTAAATGCTCTTTAGAGTATTGTGATGTCAAATGAACGCTGTAGATCTTTGTGATGATTCAAAAAGTAAAATAAAAAATGTAGAACAAGATTAGTTGCCATCAGATCCTGTGTAGACTATATAGATTAGAAGAAGAGCAGCAATGATAAGAGCAGATATAGTGGCTGACTCATAATGTGGTTCTGCAGACCGTAATGGTGGAAAGAGGGATGACGCTCGGTGTTTATAGTCTGATGGATGGAACAAACAGGGTAGTACAACTATAATATTTACTGTCGGGAACAAACAAGCCCATAAAATCTTCATTTACTGTTGTATGATTTAAACGCATTTCATACACATTCACTAAGTAGAGTATACTTCTTCCTATCATCTCCTTGGTTCCATTTCTCCAGATAAATATTTCTTGACTTTGCCTACGCGATCCAATCACCCCTCAGACCACAACCGCTCAGTACTCCATAAAAACTAGTTCTACCCTAGCTTCGTAAATTACTTCTCTTTTTATAGAGTGTTTTTGTGGTTCTTCTGAAAGATGAAGTTGATGTAGGACTCTGTTAGCATGTTTCGAGTGCCGAGCTGCTAGCCATCTTCAGAGCTGCCTCCCACTGAACCACAAAAAACCTTTTAATTCAACTAGACAAAATAATTAGTTTTAGTGGATTTAATGACTTCCAAGCTCTCTGTTATTAGGTGCATGAATTTAGAAAGAAACTGGTATAATTTGGATCATGCCATTTCTGTAGTGCATGTCACACACACCAATGATTAGATCAATAATTATCATTTCAATGGACCTGTTGTATATATTTTTTCTATTCATTTAGCTTCTTTTGCACTATTCCGGGTAATATCTACAATGAGGCTTGCATCAAACTGCTGATCCACTGGTCTGAAGACAAACATTCAATCTATAAAACTCCACGCCATTATTTACTTTAATTACTTCTTCCTAAATCGATTCTCTTCCTGACACATCTTAATAATTTTTATTTTATAGGACGCCGAGAGTCGGTGAACAGTTCACTCACAGAGGACAAAGGGGCATTGACTTTAACAGTGTAAACAGTTTGTTCTTCCCCTCACACCATTATCTCTGCATTCCCCTCATGGTTCTCTACTGCGTGCGCTGTAGCAAGACCGGGAATCACTGAAATATATACTGGCAGGAATATTTAACCCGTTGGCCCGTTTTTTACTTCAGTCCCATACAATTTTATTAAACCCAAATACTACCTCCTAAACTAACACAAATCCCTCTTAGATTTACATTATTGTACTTAAAGCTGGGATACCTTACTTTAAAACTGCTCTCAAAACAGTCTGGTCTGGGCTAATCATCTCTAGTTTTCACACTCATGCATCAGCTCTCCCCCTTCTCTCATGGCTGATCCTTTATAGAAAGCATTTTATACTTCTTGCTGTGGTCTGATTTCTGATTTTATTTTTTTTATCTTGGCTTTACTTAATTATACTTTGTATTTTTTCCTGTTTAACTGCAATCTGATCTTTGTTCGTAGGATGCAAGTTGAATGTTACTTGTTGCTTGCTGGTCTAGTTTATTCAGATTTATTTTACTAAACTACAAAAAGCAAAAGGACTTAAGGAGAATTTAGATAAGAACCACTATTCCACACCTAGCATAAACATTAAATATGTATCGTGCACTTTGTATTTGCCGGCCATTGCTTACATTAAAGATGATGCTTTCTGGTTTATTCCCTTATAAAGTAGTTTTACAGTATCACGCCTCGTTATTATTTTTCCGACAATAGCGTGAATGCTGTCAAACCAGGTGACATGGGCGTGAGTTTGCTCCTTTTCTTTTCGTATTCCCCAGTATCGACTTGCACTTTATCCGTCCAACTCGAACTGACCTTTTCATCAGAGGAAACCGGATCTTTGAAAACTGTGCTTTCTTTGTCGGCCATTAAATTCAAGCGGAGTTTCATCCGAGGTTTAGTGCTAATCTTTCTTCCTCTCTCGTGTCGTCATAGAAACGTGAGTTCCGAGCGCAGTGAAGCCCGGAGGAAGCTGAGGGAGTGCACAGGATTGGTGGACTCGCTCATGTACATTGTCCAGTCCCAGATTGATTGTAAAGATGTTGATAATAAGGTATGTGTGTAATCTTCGCCCTTGACTGAAACACCTGGATTTTGCTCTATTCTGATGTCATTGATCAAATACATCTAAATTCGTCTCATTTCTAGCAGAATCAAACATTCTGAGATAAATCCTGACACTATTGGTGATGTCATATCTGCAGGCTTTGCCCAAACTCGCAACAAATATTTAATTTAAAATGTTAGGATATTTTTGCTATATTACAATAACTCTCATTTTCCGTTAAATTTGCCTCCAGCCACTTGTGATAATTATGTTTTATTGAATAATTGTGTGGGGTTGTAAAACAAATTCATTTATACTTATCAGTGGACTTTGATAGTGTTGGTTGAGAAGCAAGACTGGATGAACCTGAACCAGTTGTGTCTTGCTTTGTTTTCAGTTTAAAGGAATAGTTCACCGTTTTTACATACTGACATATGTTCTTACCTTACCTTAGACTAGTTAATACGTACCTGTGTGATCTTAGTCCGTGCGCTCTGTCATGCAAACGGAGCAAAAACGGGAGGACAAATGCAGCCTCCTCTGGTCACTGTGTAGCACCAAAAGGTAGCTCCCGCTAGAAGCTACCAAACTCTTCCAAGTGTTCCCTATTAAATGTATATAGTTACGTGACGTGTTACACTGCAAAGTATAGTAACACAGAAATGTAACTGTCGATTTTCTCAGCGGATAAAACGGGTACTATATTGTGAGGCGTAGTAATCTGAGGTGCGCTACGTCCGCGCACTAACTTCTCTCTGTACTACAAGTCACGCTGCTTCTATTGACGGAAGTGAGCGAGAGAGAAGTCTCCGGAGAGAAGTTAGTGCGCGGACGTAGCGCACCTCAGATTACTACGCCTCACAATATAGTGCCCGTTTTATCCGCTGAGAAAATCGACAGTTACATTTCTGTGTTACTATACTTTGCAGTGTAACACGTCACGTAACTATATACATTTAATAGGGAACACTTGGAAGAGTTTGGTAGCTTCTAGCGGGAGCTACCTTTTGGTGCTACACAGTGACCAGAGGAGGCTGCATTTGTCCTCCCGTTTTTGCTCCGTTTGCATGACAGAGCGCACGGACTAAGATCACACAGGTACGTATTAACTAGTCTAAGGTAAGGTAAGAACATATGTCAGTATGTAAAAACGGTGAACTATTCCTTTAACCGCAGAATAAATAGTACATAGGGGACAATCAAAGTAGTGGATTGAGGATTGATGATTGATTTTGCAGATTGTGTGGTTTTGGGCAAAGCTTAATGTATGAAAAGTTGTGAAGCTTCTGTTCAATGACATGTTGCCTTTGCTTTCACTCTTAAATCATGCGTTAAACTCTGTTTCATGTGTCGCCTTGAACAGTTGATAGAGAACAGTGTGTGTCTGCTGAGGAACCTGTCGTATCATGTGCATCGTGAAATCCCTGGTGCTGATCGCTACCAGGAGGCCACGCCCCTCACCCAGGGCTCCTCCTCGGGACAGAAGGGCGGCTGCTTCAGCTCCAGGAAAAGCAAAGGTAACACTCACCACAGAGCGTAGGGAAAGGGTTAAATGTGCGTCTCCTGATGGGAAACATCTCATATTTACACCAAATTCCAAGTCGTTTTTGTGCGATCCTGCCCACAGACAAACACAATCTCAATACAAGTTCTCTCAGATTTCTGTTACATGCAACATTTTAGGACTTTTCCCCCTTCAAAATGTATTACATTTCTAATCTCTTATTGTAAGATCAAAGGATACTGAAATTATAGTCACATAGGAGAGATATGTGAGATCCTGGACATAATGTATCATTTGTTTTACCACTTGTTATTTTGATAAATAAATATAGTATTGGTCTCGTCTCGCTGTAGCATAACTCATGTTGGCATTACCTGCTGGAGCACAGTTATTACTCATAGTTTCACATCCTTTGCCGTTTAGAAGAAGTCTAGTTTTGCGGTGCTTTTAACCGTATAGAAAAACAACTTCTGTCAGTGTTATTTACGTATTATTTACTGAAACTGCCAACACCATGCGGCCCACACACGAGCGCACAACAGTGAAGAGCAGAAACCAGGCCTGAGCTGGAGTTTGAGCTGTGAATGCGGTGATTTCACACTGCCACTGAAACCAAGATACACACGCACATGCACACGTACACACACACACTACAGAAAGAATGTCAACTATTTCCACTTAGACTCTGTTCTGCTGCTCTCAAAAATATTGATCCAACTGAGAGCAGTTGCCAAAAACAGTTTGTTTGATTGACTGCATACTTCCACACAGTAATTCTGTGCAGATGTTATCGTTAAATGTAATATCCATTTGAATGTTTTAATTATCTGAGTCCTTGTATCGGCATATTCCAAACTTTTCATCCAAAATAACCAATTAAATGTCTAGTGACACAACTATCAAATTCAGCTGTATTTGAGTAGCTGTCTATAAAAGGTTATTTAAAAATGTTAAATGTTTCGTTTCTCCTTCCTTTAAATGATCTTTTTATGCACCAGACAGAAACATTATGCAAATGTAACGGCCTTCTCAGGGACTACGGGGTAAATGAGCATTCATGCTGTAACTTGGCACCAGCATCTCTCCTATGACTCTAACTTGATTAATGTTTTGGTATGCCCCGTCTAAGGTGATCAGGTATATTAATTGATACTAAAACTACTATCAAAACTTGCTTCTAATTTCAGAACGTATCGAGACAAAGAAAATCACAAATCACAAATTATGTTGTATTGCTAATAACATGAAAAATTGCAGCTCATCAACAAATAATGTATGTTTTTGATAATAACTTTAGCGTCATGGCAACACTAGCAATGTCCCTGTAGAAATAAAAGCATATCAAACAGTAATACAACACGGCAGCACATCAAATCAGTAGACAAAACAATGCTTAATAATAATAGCTTGTTGACATGTTTACTTGACTGGATTCATTTGCACTCAGTTCAAAGTGCTTTTAACCAATTCTTCGCATATTTTTTCTTTGATTTTATTTGTAATTAACATGTCATGCTTTGGGAATCGGGTCAAAGATGTGTCGTATATTTTAAATGCAGCCGAGGCCTCCACACGCAGCATGTGCAGTTGCTGGTCGTCTGTGGTGCTCAGTGGGATGTGGGCAGGTGTTATGTGGTGGCTCAGTTTTTTTCGCTGCTTCTATTTTTACTTTTTTTTTTACATAATCCTTTTTTACTTTCCTCCTGTTCTGCTTCCCTCCACCTTTTGACCGGGGCGGCAGATGAGTGGTTTTCTAAAGGTAAGCTGTATTCTCTCATCCACTGCACTTTGCTTCATATCCTTGTTGTCCTTGTGGTAGTAGCTATACTCGTCTAACTCGTCTTCATCATTTGATCGCTAACAAGCACGTCGTCTCTTCACTGGACGTTACTGAAGTTTCTAGTTTTGTTGGGTTTTGTCTGCACTCAATGGCACGTTTGTTTAATACTAGCAAAACTCCTACTAACAAGAACATGTGTGGTTTTGGCTTCCAGGTTTTAAATGTGAATATATGTTGCAGGTAAGAAAGAGGATCATCTTGGAGAGGACACGGTAGACATCCCAAAAAGGACAACTATAGCTAAAGGTATTTTCAATTACACACATTCAACTGTTTGTTTTCCATTGTTTTAGTTTGATTAAAGGTCAAACTATTTTGTGTTACACTTTATTTTGTGTATGTACTGTAGTTGAGAAATGAAACCCCAGTTCAGATAAGTTTTAAAATATTGTTATAGGATTTTATTTTCAGAGAAACAAGAAGTGTTTGTTTGCTTGTTAGCTGTGTTACCTTTGAGACCTGCTCTGAGATTTAAAAGTGGTTCAAATGCATTTAAAATCAATCATGGTAAATAATTGGAATACTCAATTAGAGCTAAGATTTAACCGCGGCATAATGTTCGGAAGTAAGCATAGTAGTTCTGTTTTCACATTTTAAGGCTTATCTTTAGTTTTGTTGATGCATTGTTTCATTGTTTTCAGGCTATGAGCTCCTGTATCAGCCCGAGGTGGTGCGGATCTACACGTCTCTCCTGAAGGAGTCGAAAAACCCAACTGTTTTGGAGGCTTCAGCCGGAGCCGTTCAGAACCTGTGCGCAGGACGCTGGACTGTGAGCAGCTTTTGTAATCTGCTTAGAGAACATTTTCTTAATCAAAGGATATGATTTTCAATTTTTAATTAATCAATGACCAATGGTTTTTAATTTTAATCACTCTGTAACCCATATTTAATGAAAGAAAAATCATGTATTAAATAATTGGCAGTCTAATTGTAATTTGGAAGTTAATCAGTCCATTTTTTGGACTGATTTACTGATTTGTTATCACTGTGTGTAAGATAATGTCTGCTTTCAGCTTGTAGTGTAATGTCATTTCTTTGTGCAGTATGGCAGATATATTCGCGGGATGCTGCGTAAGGAGCAGGGTTTGCCCATGATGACAGAACTGTTGGCCCACGGTAACGAACGCGTGGTGCGCGCCATGTCCGGAGCTCTGCGTAACATGGCCATCGACCCCCGGAACAGGGAGCTATTAGGTGAGACATGACCAAAAGCAAAACATGCAATGAACCTAACAATATTTAAAATTATGCATGTGTGTTTCAGGTCAACACGCGGTGCCTCACCTGGTGGCTAACCTGCCCGGAGGCGGCCAGTCTCAGCCGGTGCGGTCTCTGTCTGAGGAGACTGTGGTGTCGGTGCTCAGCACGCTGCACGAGGTCCTCGGCTCCAGTTTAGAAGCAGCAAAGACTCTGAGGGCGTCGCAGGGCATCGAGAGATTGGTGCTCATCAACAAGGACGGGTGAGGGTCACCGCGCCTCTCATCAGTGACTCATAATACACATCATGATACAATAAGTACATGATTATGTGATGATGTTGTGTGATTCTTAGTGACTCATGACTTTTAAACAATCATGAATTGTTACATCCTCAGCTTTGTGTATATGTGTCACCCTGTGGATTGTCTACCCACTTTCCTATAGCATTAATATCAGATTACACACTACATACAGACACATTACAACACTACACTTGTAAAATATACTTTCAACAGAATGTCTCCTAAACTGTGCCCTGTCTGTCCCTCCTGTTGCTGCAGTAACCGTTCGGAGCGTGAGGTGCGTGGCGCTGGCCTGGTGCTGCAGACCGTGTGGGGCTACAAGGAGCTGCGCCGCTCCCTGGAGAAGGACGGCTGGAAGAAAACAGACTTCATGGTGAATCTGAGCCATGTCAACCCCCCCAGCAGCACGCGGGCCAACGGAGGCTACGAGGACAGCACCCTCCCACTCATAGACAAAGGTACAGCTGTTCACTGACTACGTCGAGGTTTTAAAGTGACACTTTACAGCTTTACTGATCCGGCACACTGCAAAAACCTACTCTTCCATTCCACCGTCCGTCGTCTTTGGCATTGACCCTTGATAACTGGAGCTGTTCTTTTATGAAATCACTATCACGCACATTTACATATATTTTTTCACAATCATTTGAGGGATCATTTGCGATTTAATTAATCTTAAACAATAATGCTGAATTTTCTGAATAACTTAACACGTTTGTCAAGTCAATTACATATTTTTGCTTAGATTTAGATTATTTCATGGAATAGTCAAAGGTCAAATCTACTGTTCACATAATGGCTACTGCAAACAATTGAAATTATGCCATTGAAAAGAAAACCCCAGAAAGATTTGTATTACCAGTTTATATTGTTTATCATTGTTTGTTATTTTTAGTTATGGACAGATTTTGAGCATTGCTTCTGAAACTGTTTGATCAAACCTGATGTAATGTTTGTGTGTCGCAACACAGGGGCTAAAGGTGACAGAGAAATGATTCCAATGAACGACTATGGACCAGGTAAAACCCAATTTAGGCATTGGCTTTTCTGCAGTCATGTAAAAAAGTAACCACTATAGTGTTAATTTAATATGGTTGTTCTCCACAGATGGCTACACCACACTGGATCAGAAAGGCAGTAGGAACACGCTGGACCACTCACTCGAGCCTGCTGACACGGTCCAGGTAAAGTTCCATCCAATGTCATTATTGTTTTGTGGCTGCCGAGCTTTTATAATTACATTCACTGTGGAAGATGGATATGGACATGTTGAAACAAATAAAAAGGTTTCGCCAATCATTCACTTTTCTGTACGTGTCAGTGCATGTATGCATTTGTCAAAGATGAAGCCAACCAAAATGTACACAACATTTTTTTTGTTTAAAATGATCCTTATCAGAATTGTTGTATTGTATCAATAATGATCATGCAGCCGTAGAAACTACCACATTATCTTAACGGTGATTTACTGATTTTCCCTTTCTTCCCATCATCAATTAATACAAAATAAGTATATAGTAGTTTTAGAATTAGTATGTTTAGCATCCATCCATCCATCCATCTTCTTCCCCTTAATCCATTTCTGGGTCGGGGGGGTGGCAGTCAGAGCTGCACCCAATTCACTTAGCACCAGCCCCTCACTGATCCTCTGCAGGTGGTGAGGACGGCTGCTCTGTCAGTGACAATACAGCCTTGATTTTTCAGCGGGGGGTTCAGGCAATGCAGGGTTAAGTGTCTTGCCCAAGGACACAACGACAGCAGTCATCAGTGGGAGTCGGTGGAGAAGGTCCCGTGGTGGGCTTGAACCCACGACCTTCAGGCTCAAAGGCCAGTGCTCTACCAACTGAGCTACTGTCGCTACTGTATGTTTAGCATGTCCATATTTAAATGCAAATCTGTCCTTTTGGTCCACCATTCAACTTACCATTTAGATATTTTACTATTTTATTTATACACAGTTACAACAACTGGAGGAGAAAATGCTCATTTTCTTCCATTGCTGCTCACTGAGTTTACTGAGCTGCTCACTACATTTTTATTATTGCTGTTTTTTTGTTGTTGCTAAATCCCAATTCTAGTGACATCAAAATGGATCAATAAAGTCACATGTAGATAAAAGTGACGCACTCCTCACACTCCCACGGCCGCATGTCGACGCATGTCTTCTCCTGCAACACATGCTAATGTTGAACTAACACAGGGCTTTGCTTCTTGCTTCAAACATGAGATAATACAAATGATAACGGTTGGGAACCTAACTTTCAAACCATATGGGACTATTCTAATACAGCATCATACTAGTTCTTGGTCTAGTGCTATCAATACAGTTTAGTTCTATCTTTAGTTTCAGCCCTTAATCTTGGCTGAGTTCTATCTTACTTGTATGCAAAGTAAAATATGTTTTCTAATAAAGAGGACGGGATATTGTTGTCCAATGTGTTTAGAAAATGTTACAAGACTATAGTTAGGTGCAGCTCTGAGCCATTTAAAAAAACCTGGAGCTAAAAGTCTTGTAAAAGGATTTGTAGTTTTATATAATTATTACTGTTAACTGAACTAAACTGACTAGAGCTGTGTGTATCGTCTACAATATTGTTAATACATGTAATTCCTAAATATTCTCCATCTCAATGTTTAAATTCATCTGGGGGGGAATTTATGTAAATGTTTAACCAGTCCATTAGTCAACTTCTACCCCCTGTTTTAACCGCAAACGTAACTATAATCGTTATTGAAGCTGCTCTGAGTTTTTTTTCCCACGCGTGAGCCTCCACTAACATGTTTCCCTCTGTCCTAAACGCTGTCCTTCTGTTTCTCACATTGTGTAAAACTGCTCCTGTCCGCACTTGTCTCTTCAGGGAGGCGCGTATGAGAGACAAGCCTCTGTGCCTCTCATGGATTCTTACGATGGTTAGGCCACACCCACAGTTCACTGCATGTGGCATGGTATGTGTCTCGTTGAACGGCCTTGTGTCTGAACACTGACCCTCTGTTCACTCTTCTGTACCTGCCCGGCGCCCCCTGCTGATCGCAACTGTATTCTTGTCCTTCTGTAATTGTACTTTTACGCTTTTTTCTCTGTTCAGTTTATCTCTTCAGCAAAGGTGGAAAAATGTATCCTATTTTATTTTTGTCGTGTAAACAAAAGTAGATTTTTATTTATAAACGTCTGCGTCTTACAAACCTCTTGTTTTCACTTATATTAAAGCTGGGGTATGTAATGTTTAACCACATAATAAAAAACTAGTTCCTCACTTTAAAAATGGTTTACTAATTTTCAAATTTTTTTGTTTGTTAAACCAGTTAGTTAAGACAGAAAAGTACAGTAGTTTCTCAGCTCTCGGCCCAAAGTATCAAATTGTGACTCACATGGCTCTTAAAAAACATAACATGATTTCTTTAAGGATAAAAGCAGTCTATTTATTGTATGTATTGTTTATGCTATAGTTTAAGTACCCCAGCTTTAAGTAATAAGCGAATTATAGCTCAAACGGAAACCTTATTTACCGTCAGCGTTTTAAGTTCTATCCAGTGAACCAGGTTATTGAGAATTATTACAGTAAGATTAAGATGAAGAAATCGTTTTTTTCTCCCACAGAGGGGAAATGTCAGTGTTGAATCACAAGTTACAGAGAAATAGGAATGAGAAGCACACAACACGAGTGAACTTTAAGTATTGCAGAACTCTATACTTAGTGAAATTAAATAAAATCCCAATTATCTCATTCAAACTTTTTCCTGAATCTATACATAATCCGTGCAACCACATAGATGCTACTGTTTATTATATATCCATTTCTTGTGCGTTATTAAATCATAGCATTTTAGTTAAGTGCAAGATTATGTTTTTACCTGCATGTTTTCAGTGAATGAGACATATAGAGTCACTCGCTTTTGTACTGTCCAGTGGTCTGCTTCCACTACTTTCAAACATATCCCATCTTGGTTCTTATTTGGTTTCGTAGGTCACTTTTCCACCTTTGCTCCCCCTGAATATGTTAATTTTATGGTGACCCCAAAGTTAAATGTTTTGAGTCTCTGGTTCAGGCATGCCCACCTCCCAGAAGCCTTGTGTCTCAACCCGTCTGTTATCGTTATGCTAATGATTTTCGTCGTATTTTTGCAGAAAAACTGATCGTGTGCATCACCAGACGACAGCCTCCTCCCACCTACTGCCCTTGCTGAACTCACAAAATGGAGAACGACTTTCAAAACCAATGACTCTACACGCTCCATTTGTGCGTCGTCTGTCCTCAAAACCGCTCTCAAAAATCGCTTCTTCTTCTTTCTGCTGTTTACATTCCCCCCTGCGCTGTGGCTCTCCTGTGGACAACTGGACATTCAACTAACAAAAAAAAAAGACATGCCACTTTATGAATAGCTTCTTCGACTTGCAAAACTATGGGAAAAAACACTAATTGCAAAGATACCGATGTCCTCTGAGAACTTGTTTTGTCGTGATAGCATTGAGGACTATGGGATCCTAATGGGACAGCTTTATCGGTGGTAATCTACATGAATGCAACTTACTGTTTTTGAAAAGGAAAAAAAAAAAAAAAGAGGGAATGTGTTTTTGATTTGTTTATTTTGTTAAAGATCCTTCTGGCAAATGATCTATACTGAACTTTCTCATCTCAAAGTTGTGCTACTTATTATTCACCTGTGGTCCTTGCTTTCTGCGCTGTACCACATTGATGTACATGTGCCAAAGTGTTCCCGCTACTGCCGTCTCTGCCAATGCAAACCCATTCAGACTAATGTAGAAAGTGCTCGCGTCCTTTTACAAATATGCATCTTTAACAGATTTCACCAAAAACGCATGGAGCCGCTGCATTTTCTGTTTAGCGAATGTTGCCTTTAGATTCAAACGGGAGCGAACCCTGAGTGATTGCTTGCCAGTTCACTCAATCAGTGAAATGTTTTTCTTTTATTAGTTAAATTCACACATTCAAACTCCTTGCATGACCAATATCAGTCCGTAGTTCTGTCATTTCATTCCTTTCCCTGTATTTTCAACGCTGGGACCTACTCTGAAGGTTGCAGCAATTATCAACGCCACTTGTTTTGCCTTTTTTATACTACTTTCTGGTAATCTGCATGTTTGAGCTTCACCTACAGTTTTCTCACAGTATTCAACCAATCTGATCACACATTTATTTAAGCATCACGGTTTTCTTTCCTTAAATGTCTTGAAACGCATGTCGCCTCTCCAAAGAACCAACTTGTAATTCACCTCACTTGTTTTATGCCTTACTTATGCCTTACTTAACATATGCATTGAGGTAGGCGTCTCTGTTCTAGTAAAATAATTTAATTTAACTATTGAAAGAACAAGTTTTCCATAGTATTTGAATTAATTACACGATTGAAAAATGTAAAGTTTGTTGAGAGATGCTTTGCCTGTTAAAGATTGTCTTATTTTTGCTAAACTATTCCCTGTATGTCCCTTAAGTCTTAAAACATTTGGGGGATGTTGCTGCAGAAAGACTAATGTTGTGAGGGTCCTTTCTAACATCAGGTCTATTCTTATTGAATGTGTGTATAATATAAAATGTCGGTAACAGTGTCTTAATAGTGGGCCATCGCTGTGCCTGTGTGTCCTCCTTAACACTACACAAACGTAACTAAAATCAATGTCTTTTACTCGACTTGATATAAGTTGAGCTGAGCTTTTATACGCAAGATAACGGTTGATATGTGAACTTGATGTTACGTATGATTTTTGTGAGATTGGCATTTTATAAGGTATTCAATTCCGGTGTTCAATATATATAGTCCCGACATAACAAACAGCAGTGTTGTTTCTGCTACTCTCGCTTTTCCTGTCAATAATGATTACCTTATGCGAATCGAGATGTACATAATTGCATTAAGCATAGAGGGTTAACCTGATCATTTTGTCGCTTTTTCTTGAATATTGTTTTTTTTTTTTTTCCTCATGCCAATCCAAACACTACAATGTTGCCTTCAAGAGTGGACTGACAAAGAGGGCATTTGGAAAGAGCAAGGGTTCGTTTTTTTAAATAGGGGCAAAGACAAGAATTTCCTAAAGTATAAAAAAATGAGTTAAAAAAATTAAAATAAAAAGCACATTTAAACTATATATACCAGAGAATATTTGTTAATTTTAATGCTTTTATGTATTTTTGTGTTTTCTTTTATATTGATTTTGTTGTTGTTTTTTGTTTAATTGTTTTGGGTGCTTGGGGTGACCGCATATGCAATCAGTTGTAGTTTGATTCAACAGTTTGTCTTAATTAAATGCAAAAACACTTTCAGTCTTCTACTTCCTGGAAACTAATGACAAAATCTGATTATTAATTGTTATGCCTTGGCTCTTAAAGTTGCACATCATTTATGAATGAAACCTGTAACTAGCAATACTGTTTTTAATAAAAAGAGAATATGATTTTGCAGCCAGACTTGAGTTTGAGCTTCCTTGTGTTTTGGCCAGTAGGTGTCGTAGCAGCGCTGGCCTTGAACCTAAACGTAATTGGAATGTTAAAAGCATGTATTTCTGACTCCCTCCCTTCACTCAAGCTAAAAAAGAAGCAACATTTCTGCAATTTAGAAAACTTTCGGTAAGTGTTAATTAGCACGTTTTCAGCAATTTCAATGTGTTTGGAACAACCCATCTTAGGCTTTCTTCTGTGGTTTTCAATGGTACGCTAAGACATTTAAGTAATCAGTAAGTTTTGATGTGTGTACTTAAAAATTAGAAAACTCTTATTTGCAAATCATTGTTAATAAAGGTGTGTATATTTTTCTAAACAGCAGCCATTGGTGTTATGCCCAAAACAAGTAAAATGGTTTTGTAAAACACGTTTTAATGTTGCACATAAATGCGTGATTGTATCCACAGATCTAGGATTGAGTTGTGGTATTTATATTTTAGTAAACGTAAACTTTATTGTCAAGTCTGAAGTGAGTCGGGCTCCACGTGGTTTTACGTTGCCATACTGTTCTTAGCACAAAATAGCCTTGATGCTAATTCTGATCACGATGGACAAGACCCGTGTTTTTAAAGAGCGTAAACTCCAGGGAAGCACGAATATGTTGTTATCTTCATGACCAAAGCATGTGTTTAATCACGTTTTATTACTTATTATTTGTTTTGTCATTAGGCCAAATGCAGACATGCGGTTTTGGTTGCCAGATTATGAGAAGAGGCTCATAGGAGAGCTGCAAAAACAACAACACGGCGCTCAGTTCTGCGACACACGACTACAGACCGAAGGTAAGACTGTGTTGGTGTTTTTGTTTACTTTACTAACTTTCGGCAAATGTGCACATGGCACACTCACCACAAGTTCTTTCATAGTTGATAGAAACGATAGAGCGGCGAAGTGGGAGGAGCCCTTTCCGGAAGTAAAATTCTCCATTCCAAATAATAAAAAAAATGGTTATGAAAATGACAAAAATCGACAGTTTGAAGACATGACGGAGGTTTTGGTAGAAAACACTAATACAACATAAAATTCTGTTTGTTTAACATTTTTTTAATAATTGACCATGTTCATCGTTTACTTTCCAAGTTTTTATAACTTGAAAAAGAGGGGGGAGTGGTTCCCATTGTAATTTAAAGGTGCAGTAAGCGACTTTGTTAGTTTAGCCTTAACTAACAAAGTCGCTTATAGCACCTTTAAATTACAATGGGATTCTTGGAGACGTTGCTCCCACTTTGCAGCTTCATTGCAGTTGCCAATCTAAGCCATGGATTGTATTATCTATATAGGTTATTTAGGTATTTCTAGCTGGGCACCGGCTTGATGGTGGACCACCTGCACTGCTGCACACTAAAATTGTGTGGGCTACCCAGGAAATATCCCCAGAGATCTAAATATTAACCAAACTGCTTGTCCTCAGTTGTCATAACACCCGCAGCTTTCTCCAAGGTCGGGTTTAGTGGGGATATTGGTGTGCCTTGTCATCCTGAACTCTTTATCTTTTGAAATCCACATGGTCGGGGACTTTCGTTAGTATTTCAGGCTCCATGGTGAGTCCAGGCACAAGCCACTGATTTGAATTGGCAAACATCGCTGGGGCTTGATCTAAACCCATGGCTAACTGTCATATGCTTTCATTTGTTATTTAAAGAAAAAAATAAACTCAGTTGTTATTTTCCCTTTTGTTCCTGCAGGTATTTCTATCCCCACCCACAGCTGTGTCCTGGGTGCTCTGAGCCTGCACTTGTCCCAGAGACTGTCAGCCTTGCCACCTCCCCCTGCTGGACAGAAGCAGACACTGCATCTCCATACTCTAAAACCTCAGACTCTTATCAAACTAATAGGTTTGTTTTATTCAGGAGAGCTTGAAGTTACCTGTCCCTCAGAGCAGAAAGATCTACTCGCGGCTGCCCATTTGTTTGGACTCTCAGATCTAGTTGTAGGAGAAAAAGGAAAAGTTAGAAATTGCAAAGAATGTAGTACGAAGGTTGAAATTGAGAAAAGAGATGCACAAATTCAAGTCTCACCTAGATGCTTTCGTGCATCTATTGGCACTCAATCAATCACACAAGAACTTACCCAGACTATGGACAGTTCTTCTCAGTGTGAAGATACCTCATTAACATTACCTCAAAGTTGTAAAAATGCAGAAACGAGCACATCTGCTCGCTCATCTTCAAAGGGATGCAGCGAGGGAGAGGCCATTTTGGAGCTGTCGACAAACTCATCAGTCAGTGCGTCTTGTCCCAGTGAGATTATAATGCTTCATCTTTCACCAAGCGAGGATTCTAGTCTTCAGGAGGTGGAAGCCAGTGCAGGGTGCATCGGTGCCAGTCCAGAGGTGGAGGAGGAGGGTAAACAAAGACAAGTGTCACAGAATAACTATAAGACTGGAAGTCTGGAACCTGCTGTAGCACAGAAAAGGCAAGTTTGTAAAACTGTGGCCTCTAAAAGTATGGAGAAAATGCAGGAGATGATGGAGACGACACAGATTTCAATAAAGGTAAGACAATTTTTATAGATCTGCACTGTTTCATGGTAGAGATGGGGTAAAGAAAAATATTTCTACTTGTGGTGATTTCAGACAATTTCTTTATTTTCTTTTGGGGAATGTGCAACATCAATCATTTATTCCTATTATAATTTTGCAAAAAATATCAAATTCAACTACTGTAATCATATTTTTTTGAAAATAAATAATTTGAGGAAATGTAATTGTGATTTTGTATTTTCTGAATGTCCATTCAAAAGTTTTGTTTCTGTCTTTACTCTGAGAAGGTAAAGTTGAGGAGGAGAACTCAAGAGGAGATGTGGGAGGTGGTGAACATACAAGACCCTGATGCACTCGTAGCTCCTGTGAGATCGGTACAAATCAATTCACTGTTATTTAAACTTTATCATGCCGCACTGGGTTTACAATGTGCTTTTGTTGGTTATAAGAATAATTCCAAAAGACCATCGGGTGAATTCACAGCAGTCCGACTTTCCAGTGCTCAGGCCTCAGACCCCCACACCAGCTCTCCTAATGAGTCCATGAGCGCCTTCAGTGATGATGCGGATGCGGTGCCACTGCAGTCACCGCGTCCTGTAGAAGAAACCGATGAGCAGATTGAGAAGCTGCTGGAGGACATCATGATCGGCCTGAACATCCTGCCCAATAACGACAAAGACAAGGCCAAGTCGAGGGACCAGAAACTTAGCCACAGGAAAGGATCCACCCAGTTCCAGAAAGGAAAATACTCATACTTTGGATGCTATGAAAACGATGGGGTTCAACATGGCAACTGCTCAGCAGGTACTGTGAGAATGCAGCTTTTAAAAATAATAAAGATTTAACTAAATGTTCTGTACCAGCCAGCAATGGTGAATCGACAAATCATGACTTTAAATAACTTATATTAAACCATTATTTTGGTATTGATGAAAATAAATATAAGTTGACTGCTAAAATAATGTTTAGTTGTAGACCCAAATGTAACCTGAAAATACCTTTTTAAAAATGTCAAAGCATTACAAATACAAGTCTGTGGAAACTGGAAACTATATCAGACCCATGTGTCCATGGGTCTGATATATTTGCAGAAGGAGAGGGGGAAGAGGTTTAAACACAGGAGCGCTCAGGGCGCTGCAGGTCAGAGGAGGCAGGGGTTAATTGATACGTACATTTATTAAGGACAAATTTATACAACTGATGCAAACATTTTCCAAGCCCACTGAGCATATGATCTATGATGAAAAAAGAGCATGCATAAAGAACCATTCTTGTGTTTCTTTAGGTGAGTCGAGTGGCTGTGTCCAGGCTCCTGTCTCACTGCCCACTGCCTTCCGTGACTTGAACCCAAATTCCTCAAGGGCAAAACACAGCCCCGAAAACTCCCCACGTTCAACAACGAGCAGAGAGACGAATCCTGAAGAAGACCCAAAGGACCTGGAGTTATTGCCTCTCTCCACTGAAAACGAGGACAATTTGTTTTCTATGGCTGATCTTCAATTTCTCCCATGTCTGTCTCCTCTAGATTCTAACAATAATTCAACCACTGTGAATAAAAGTCCTGTCCACTCGTATCTGCCGGGGAGAGCCTGGCTTATGGACAACCCGACATCACTGCAGTTTCCTTTGACAGCTGTTGAACAGAAGCCGCAGGATGCACACTTAAAACCTTCCATAAGTGATGACTCTAGAGAGAAGTTTGGCAATTACGATTTGGATGCCCTACCACCCATCAAACAACAAAATAATAGACAGAATTTGTATGAGAAAGTTGTGCCTCTAAGTGTAAAGAGAAAGTGCCCAAATCTTGGACTAAGTAAGACCTACACGGATGTAAACGTAAAGACGGATGTGAATATTAACTTGAGCCACTGTTTGGTGAGTTTGTCCAGCAATAACGTTCTAGCGAAGGAAAGAAAAAGTGTGTCCAGCACGCCACCACATAATGAAAGTCCACCAAGCGACGGAAGCAAGCCACAAACGCCAATAAGAAGACGTTTAAGAGCAAAGACTCAAGCCATTGGAGATAGTTTGAGAAAACTTCCTGATAGGACGAGAAGGAAATCCAATCGCAGTGAAAGCAACCCGGAAACACCCTCCCCTAAAGTCCAAAAAGAGAAAAGAAAACGTGGGAGGCCGGCTAAAAGGAAGAGACAGAATAAAAATCCAAATCCAAGTTTGGAGATTTCAGATGAGCCAACGAGTGACGCAAAAAGACCAAAGCTGGAAGAAGCCCCCAAACGAGGTCCCTCAAGAAGGACCCGCAAAACTGTTCACGCGGATCATTCATATACAGCAAAAGAAGTTGACAATAAGAGGCCGCCTATGGTGAGCCTCAAGGAGTTTGAACAGCTTTTAAAACGCCGGCACTTGAAAAAGAAAAGCCTAAAAGTTGTAAAAGAACAGAGCCAAAAGGATGAGACTGAGGGTGAAGCTGTAGCAGAGTCAAACCAGCGGTCCGACTCCGCCCATAGTCAGTCAGAGGAGGTAGATGTGACGGAGGACAAGGACGGACAATCCCAAACCACATCCACGGAGGATTTAAACCATTTAAATTCTCTCGAGGAGCCGCCTCAAGCAGACGACAGCTCCATCACTGAGTGCGATGTGTCTGAGGTCAGTGACCAGTCGGAAATGTGCTTTGGTGTGATCCCCAAAGTGGTGTTCCAACTCTCTGAAGAAATGGAAGAACAAAGGGCGCCGCCAGAAGAACAAGCGACACCTCCAAAGAAGTTCAACGACTGTGAGTTTAAAATGATTATTATAAAAATTATGTTTAATATTAGTCATTAGTTATGAAGCCGAAATAACGAATTATGAATCCTGTTTCTAACCAGGGTTGTCAAAGGTATTAAAAACATAGTACAGATGGAAATATAGTATTGTGACAACACCCCAGGGGGTGCTCTAGCACCAAAAGTTATGGTAGAAAAAATGGCTACATGCATAATATGAACTCTAAACAACTTTACACTTAAGTTTTTTTTATGGATAACTTCTATGAAAGTACAGCCAGTTGAACCTTTTTGTTTTGTTTCTATGCTGCAACCACCAACTCCCAAGCCTTAGTACTGTAGCTTGTTATAGCTTAAAATAATTACATAGATACAGATACAGATACATGCTCATCTACTTTAATGTACCCAATGACATTTATTTTAGTATTCAAGAACACATTTTTCATTATTAAGATGTATAGGGCATTTTTTGCACATTTTTTCCTCTTGCAGGTGCTCCAGACAGTGCATGTGAAAAGCAAGTCCCCAGTGACGATTCACTGCCACTCACTGCCAGCAAGGAAGAAGAAAACGCCCCGACAAACGACTGCAGAAATGTTGAGGACCAAAACCGAAGCTCCGGAGACGAGGAGGTGGACATCCTGATTCACTCAAGTCCAGACCAAAAAGCCACCACAGAAGGCCCCAAACCTGTACATATCTCCCCTGACGAAGAGGAGGAAGAAGATGGCGATGACGTGGACGTGACTGGTAGCGATACCGACGGATGAAGGCTTGTATCTGTCATGTGTGGAGCTGCTCATTTCATTCATTCATTTTCCGATTTATTTCAATTCAAATACATACATATAAAACAAGCTAAAAGTACAGGAAACACGTGTCACTGTTAAATTGATCCTCAAAAACAGTTTTAAAACAAGCGCAAGAACGTTGAAGTGCTTTGTTGATTAGAAAACGGGATAACCTGGAAAGAAGCTGGAACGTGGCTTTTCCAGGGTGGTCAGAAGAATCCTTTATTGTTTTAAGAGCTCAATTTTAGGGTGGATTTATACAGAACCTCCAGAACTGGCAGCTCTGGAGCCCATAGCGCTCTTTGTTCAGAGCTCTCCTTTCTTTGGCTAGTTTTAAAGTTCACAATCTTTATGTTTGTTTCTTTAGATCAATGTCAATCATTGTCAATCCGTTTGGTTGCTCAATTAACCATGTTTGTTTTCAAGCAATGTGTTTATTATCTCATTTGTTTTTTTAGGTGACTTGTGCCTGTTTTATATTTTTACTGTAAGAACGTTTTATTTGTTTTTGTATGGGGCAGATTATTTTAAAAAACCAGGTCAGTGAATTTAAAGACCTCAGTTACTTTTATGGTTTAATGAAAGGCTATCCTTCTATGTAATTGTTTTATATTTTTGTTGCAATAAGATTTGAATTACATGTGTATTTTAAAGTGCATATGACAGGTTAGACTACTTTCATGTTTCTTGGTCCAGACGATGTGGATGTGGATGTGAAGCATTGCAAGAGATAAAGGACTAGTAAAATCAATAGTGGAAATAAATAAATAAATACATACAATAAAAAGTTGTGAGAACATTTTTGGGAAAAAAAATGTATGCATGCATTTAAAAAAATAAATGTCCATTGAAGCCTTTCTAGTTCTAGATTCAAGATTGTTTATTTTCTCTCCTTAAGAGAAATTTGGTTTGGAACAATGGGTCTGCTACATTTCATTACAGAAAATACACACACAAAGACACGTGCTGTACAGTTCACACCCAAAGACACATCACCTCCAGATTCACTGAAATGGGTATGAATGAGTTCTCATAAAGATTGAGTTGTCATTCTGTAGTTCATATTCAGGGAATTAGATTTCGCCCCTAAATTCAGGAGCTCATGTAGAAATTCTGCTTCTTTGGTTACTTTGTTTTTGAGTACCTTCTGTCACAAATATCTGAAACTATTCTTTCTGTGATCCCTGCCCTGTAATAACCAGAACGCACCAGTAGAGGGCGCGCTGTTTTACGCTCTCCTTTTGGATGCAACTTTACTCAGAGCGGAAGTGGCGGGGGAAGCTGCATTCACACGTGTGGTTTGCTGGAGGATTTGAAGGTTAAAGTGGAGGCACCGGGCAGCTTTGGGTGGTCTATCCGCAGTGCGAGGGTCTGAAGCCGGGTGCGAGTGACCGGAGGACGGGCCGTGACAGACGCAGACATGGATCCGATGAAAGCGCAGCAGCTGGCGGCAGAGCTGGAGGTGGAGATGATGGCTGACATGTACAACCGGTATAAACCATTCAATATATTTAATCACACCGCTCAGATTAAGAATAAGGCAGACTTTTTTTTTTTGGAATAAAGTCACTGCAGATGGAATGAGGCTTTTGATTTTAAAACCTACAAATCTTGTCTGCATTGGGTTGCATAACTTACACGTGAACTACATTAGCTAGCAAAAATGAGATGCAATGAATCACATTAAATACACTATCAAAATGACTCAGTTAAAAATGTATGTGGGGAGCAGTCTGATTTATATCTTGCACTATTAAAATGATACAGGCCTTGTCTATCTGCTAAATAGTTTTGCTCGTCTCCTTGACACAGACTGCACGGCCAATCCCATTCATTCACCCAGTTATAAAATGTCTCTTTTTGCCAATAATGTTTTATACAGCTCTTTTTTGGACACGTCATTTTTCTTTTACTCCATACACGGTGGTGTGGTGATTAACTACTACTGTAGCCACAGCTGCCCTGGGGCACACTGACAGAAGCGAGGCAACCAGTGTGTGCCCCCAGCCACCAACCATTCACACACACAGACTCATTCTAGGCAATGAGGGTGAAGTGTCTCGCCCCAGGACACAACGGCAGTTTGGCACTTTACAGTAGTCTCCCCACTGTGGCTCGTGTTCTTAGTGGTTCAGTGTCTTGCCAAGGACACAACGACAGCAGAGAGTGGGAGTCGGACCTTCTACCTCAAAGGTCAATGCTCTACCAACTAAGCTACTGTCGCCCTGATAGAATCCATGCATGACTCGGGCCATGGATCTATAATAATGTCGACTCGGGCACTCAACAGCAGTGTATACACCATCAGATCTACGTGGTTTAGCCTTTCATAACCTCACTGTACATTTTAAACTGCTTTTATTTAAATGGGGCTTTAGCATTCAAAACGCTCTACAATACGCGCACAAATATTGAATGTCTGTCTTTTTTCTGATTTCATCCTGATAGATCTAAATTGCACCAGTCTTGTAGAAGCTGGCAATGCTGTAGGAATGCATATACTTTCACACAAACTTGTTATAATGCAGGACCATATAGTATCAGTAGCAAAACATGTTTAGTATCTTGACAAGAATCCATTTTTTACATTGACATATTTTAGATGCTTCTGTTCTGTGTGTTACCTTGACGTGCTTTGGATCAGGGGTGTCAAACCGGTCCTTAATGGGCCGGTGTGCCTGCAAGGTTTTAAATCCAACCAAGCAGGAACACACCAGACACCACCCCATTTTCTCAAGTGAGTCCAGTCTTACCTGAACTTGAGACTTGTTTAAATGGATGGAGTTTGGTGTGCGCCTGCTTGATTGGAGTAAAATCCTGCAGCCGCACCTGCCTTTACTGAAACCCATTTTGACACCCCTGTTTTGGATTCTCAATTAAAAAAAGGTTAATGTGATGATGAGTTTATTGGCTGATTTACATAACGCCTAATAGCATTCCTACAGATAATATAAGATAGAAAAATGAAACACAAAGACTGCACATGTTGTTCAGTTCTGTTTGAAACTAGAAATCATTAACCTGGGTTTTTGGGGCATGCATGAGACTGAGTCGGTTTTGTGCAGTTTCTAATAGAAGTCCTAGATTGGGGGCTTTAGAGATAATATCATAATAATAATCCTGGATGCAGTTTTTACAGTACTTGTCAGAATTTCCAAACCGCAGAAACATCCTAAAGACATATGTGCCTTCCAAACATAAATAAATGATCTCCTAATATTAAATGTGAATTAATTAGAAGTTTGTCCTTAGAGTAGTTGTGTTGTCTATACGATGGCTGCCTCTAGTATTTCTAATTATTATTTTTTCTGTGAGAAATTCTGTGTTTGTGGCTGATGTCTTCCTTTTCCCTTTTCAGAATGACAAATGCGTGCCATCGGAAGTGTGTCCCTCCACATTACAAAGAGGCAGAGCTCACCAAAGGAGAGTCCGTGTGTTTGGATCGCTGTGTTGCCAAGTACTTAGACCTTCACGAGAGACTGGGGCGCAAACTGACTGAACTGTCCGTGCAGGACGAGGAGATGCTGAGGAAAGGGGCCGTCGGCAGCGGATAACAAAACAACAACATGAACGCTGAAAGCAGAATATCAGTCAAAATTGTGTGTCTAGTTTTAAGGATGGAAGTTGAAAGTTTAAAAAATGAGGAAGTATGCGCTCAACTGTTACTATGTGAGACTGAGCAGTGAGGCGGGATATAAAAGTAGTTTCTCGCCATCAAAGCATGACGGACCGAAGCCTGGGACTGCTAATAACGCAGAGTAACCGTTGATTTTTTTTCAAAACACATTGTCGAATTTGTCTCAACACAAGATTTATTTGTATTTTATCTTTTTGAGACGCATTTTGAGATATTTAGTAGTACTACTAAATAAACATTCATATGCTTTACCTCAAAGTCTGGGCTTGCAGCCAAAAGGTGTTCATATTAACGGAAGGTGCACTGAAGTCTGCAAGTCTTTCTACAATATGCATATCGTCTGGAGCTTCTCAGACCTTTCATGTAATTGCTATCCAGGAAGAAAACTGGATTTTTGAGTACTGTTAAATGTGGGTAAGTAATGGATGAAAAGATTGGAAAAACCGACAACAAAAACGTGTCCAAATTAAACAAATTTGAGTACCAGAAGTAAAGCACATGCCACAGTTTGAGAAGCACTGGTTTAGTTTATTGAAATACCTTTTTTTTTCTCTGCTTAAGTCTGTCAGCATCATAACATGTATTTCGCGCTTCGTCTGTGGACCATGATTAACTGGGATTTGTATTGTTTTATTTGTCTTTTTTTTATTTCCTTAATGTCTCAAATAAATATATACAATAATGGATCAAAATAATCCAAAGTGAGTTTGTATAGTTGTAAATTTTTTTTGAAGTCATCTCTTCGCTGGTTACTGTGCTGTTACCTGTATTAGCCTGGTTAGTACTGTGATGGGAGACCTCGGAACAGCAGGTGCCACAGTGAGGCGGTTGAAAGTGCCAGGTCGATGTGTCCTTAGGCAAGACACTTAACCCACATTGCCTACCAATGGCACATACCGGCTGCCTCTCTTTTGTCAGTGTGCCCCAGGGCAGCTATGGCAACAGTAGTAGTTTCTCACCACTGTGTATGCAGTGATTGATTAATGAGACGTGACGCGTCTTTGTGTGTCCAAAATTTTGTAAGAGCTTTACCAAACTAATGCATTATTATTAGAGCTGCAACTAACGATTATTTTGTAATCGATTAATTTATCGATTATTTTTACGATTAATCGAGTAATCGCTTGGCTGTGAATTGTGTAGACATTTTTTTTTTTTCTACACAAAAAGCTAAAGTGGCAACACTCGAGGACGTATTGATGGCGTAAACATAAAGTAAATGTTTGTAACAGGCTCTTTGTGCTAATTCTGTTATCTGATTGGATGAGACAGACAGATATTCATGAAATTATAAAAACAAAGTCTGTTTTAATCAAAAATACATTTTCATGTCATTTTTGCTCTGAGTCCGTGTGAACCAGAAAACGATTAATCGATTACTAAAATAGTTGTCGACTATTTCAATAATCGATTAGTCGTCGATTAATCGATTAGTTGTTTCAGCCCTAATTATTATTGTGTGTATTAGTGTAGCTGTCCCTTTAAGAAATCTACAAGGAAGTAAGTGCTGCACCGAGACTAGTTTCAGTTCCCTCATGAATGTTCAGTATTTACATTTTTTCCTTTTTGGTTTTGCTCATGAAAAGAGAAGCATCTGCTGTGGACAGTGACGGAGGCAATCTGTGCAGAGATACTACAGAATCATTAACGTTATCATCATAAAACAAACCTCAGGAGGACGTAAGCATGGTGAGTGGACGTGATCGAGACTGGTCTAAATGTTTGTGTACAGTATTTGTTGTATATACATGTCAATTTTATTATGATTTTTTTTTTTTTTTTGTCATCCTGGACTTGTATGTTATTATAGATTCATGGCGCGTGTGCTTTTTAATAATGGTTGGGATTTACAGAAGCCAAAATGCTGACAAACAAGTGCAGGGTCAAAGTTATTGCAGACAGTGACCACATGTTATCACCGACTGTTGTTATTATGCAGTTTTGAAGTTTTTTATTTATCTTATTCATAGTGTCAGTAAATAGATGCATATTAAACTTAGACACAGCTTGTGGTGAGAAAGGGTTAACCAGTCAATAGAGAAGCAGCTTAATTCACATCCTCTTTATTCAATCATTCGTAAAAAAAAAAAAAAAAAAAAAAAACGTTTGTAAATTGTATGTCTAGCAAGTTATTGAAGATCCATCTTATTTAGGAGCCACAAAATAAAATTGTATACATTAGATATTCAGATACATTGATTTAGTGATTACTGTGCAGCTGCAGGGCCAGGATGAGAGTAAACGTTTCCAGGACTCCCTTGAAAAACAGGTTCTAAATCTCAAACGGAATTTCCTTGTGAATGAAGATTAAATACAAAAAAAATTGTCTCACTTTAGTAGTAGTAGTGGTTTATTTTCTTCGGCCAATGTGTACACCAGATCTCAGGTCATACTGATGTAGAGATCACATATACTTTTTACAACAAGAAAAAAAACGAACCAAAATGTGTCCATAAAGGACCTTGTTGAGCGAAAGGGGTTTAGGCTGAAGTCGAAATTTATACTGCCAATACGACCAAATGACAATTATTAATATAATTATACAGTTTCTCATATACAGTACCAACAATCTTATCATGGAGCACAAAAACTTAAACTTTGACAAATCAAAATTATGTTATACTGTATATGATCAAAATTATAGATGACTCAGTATACATGTTACACAAAACTTAAACTTCCATAATCAGGAGTTATTAAGCATAATCCAATTCAAATACATATATTCATTCAAAAGAGATAGTGTTTTATTATTCTCTATCTCTATATGAGTTTTGGTGATGGCCTCTTATCCACTCATGTGTTTAACTCACTATGTTCACTTAACTGGTGGTCGTTGATGATAATGTTAGTCATTCAAAACACATTTCACATGATTCATAATTTTTTTCTTCTTCACTATGAGTCGAAACCAATGGGATAATTTGTATAATTTTATAAAACAGCATAGTAACGTTTTAAAGTTACAATGACAGTATCAGTATGTAAATCTAGAATGCACTGAGAGTAATTGAACCTCAGTATTTCAAAAGTCCTCTGCTTTTTATGGAGCGAGCAGCTGAAGGAAAAATGCAGTGTAACAAGATCCATGGAAACAGCACATCAGATGGAGCTGCACTGACTGTACATTTTACCCTCTGCCTTTCTAACTCAAAGAAACACAGTGTCATCCAGCCAACTTCATTTCCGCCAATATAGTCATGTTGTTTCTTTGAAAGCATAGAACCTCTCGATTAGAATCTGCCATTTCCTTTTTTGTATATACTGGTATGTGTTTTTGATTGTGTCACGGAATTCTGTCTAAGGCGCTGATGTAGGTGGTGTGATGGTACTACTGTCGCTTTAACTTGCACTATTAAATATGTATTGTGTGTAACTAGTGTGTGCTTGTATATAGTAGACATTTTATGAAGATTTGTCATGCATGCCTTGATATCCTGTTTTTGCGTTAATAATTCAAAAGCACCATATGCCAAAGAAATAGTTTATAACGTCCTATTGCTTACAATGGCAATCAAAATCAATCTGATTCTGATTTGTCATTCAGCTTCAATGTGGACATTTTAAAGCTGCTTGAATCCAGTTAAAACAGTTTTACAGTCTGTGTTGTTGGCCCCTGGAAGTCTGCTGAGCTATAGTGGCCCTCTAACTAAAGTTTGGACACCCCTGGTCTATGGTTATTTTTATTTTCATTATTTATTACTATTATTATTATTGTTATTATTTATATGTCTAAACTTTTGTACATCTTTCGTATTATTCTTTTCAAGATAGAGATGTTATACTTGTTTTTTGATGCTAGAGTTAGAGATTTAGTTTTATTTTGATTGTTATAGCTATTGTTTACTACTGATCTAAAACTTGTGATGCAACACTGAAATTTCCCCACTGTGGGACGAATAAAGGGTCTCTTAATCTTAATCTTATTTGTCTCGTAAAACCTGACTAATCAGTGTGAGGCTTGTTTTGGCCGCTAGATGGAAGCAGCGGATCAGGAAGACTTGGTCCAAGAGGCAGATGAAGAAGGGGTGCCACCTGCTGGAGTGAACAACGAACTGCAGGACGTGGTTCCAGACGACAACATGGAGGAGCAGGTGTGTTGAACTGGTATTGACTGTAGTTTATGATGTGGACATACATGACATAAGAGCGGAGAAATCCTTTATTTTAATTTGTGGTGAATTCTACTTATTTATGAATTCAAACTTACTGATTGAAAGCTATACTGATTTTGAATTTCATATAACTGTGTAATGAGGCCAGCCATTATGTGTTTAGAATTGTATTAGTATTGCTTTGCTATATACACAGAAAGTGAATGATATTACTTAGTTAATAATAATGTATGACGGTAGGTTGTGGTCTGATTTTTTCACAAACATTACTTTTAATTTGTGTAAGCTCTCAGTCGTACAGGGATTAGTCAAAGCAAAGGAAGGTTTCTCGTAGGGAAAACCTACTTTTCTTTGCTGCTTTTAATTCAATACAATTTATTCTTATATAGCCCTAAATCAGTAGTTATCTCACAGGACTTTACACAACCGTTGAATTTGCCAACACAGATCAGAGAATCAAACACAAAAAATACAATTATAGAAAACACACAGTCATTGGTCCATAAGGGGCAGATGTCCATAAATGTCCATAAATGTTCTTAAAGGCCCTTTTTTGTGTGAGTGTTTTGATTATGAAACAAAAATGTTGCGACTCCATCTCTCTTGAAATGACTCCATTGATTTTCTTATGTGTAACACAGTGTGCGATGATTGTAAACTGATTTTCTTTGTGAAGATGGAGGAGTTTCTGGGCCCGCAGCCGGAGTACAATGAGGAGGAGGAGGAGAGGAAGTACTATAGAAGGAAGCGGCTGGGCGTGATCAAGAACGTGGTCTCTGCCAGCGTCGCAGCCATGATCGTATATGGAGTTTACATGGGTGGGTCGAGGAAATGGGCTCTGTTATATGACTTTACTATGTGTGATGTCATTTTATTGACACAGTTTTGACGTGTTACATCAGCTTCACTGCAAAACCATGAAGTAAAAAACAAAAAGAAAATGTGTACCATTACAAATGACAATTACATGGTTATCATAATAATAATAATAATAGCAATAATCTCTACAGACTTGTCCCTATAGAGGCAAGTAGGTTTTGACTTAAGTGCACCCTCAGATCTCTACTTATAGCTAAACATTATCAAAAGTAAACTATTTTAATCTACTGAAAAAACTGTCAAATTGAGTCATTTTCACCTTGATTTTGGGGTGACTTTGACTTTTATCATTGAGACCAGCAAAAATGTCTAAAAATCAATGGCAGTTAGAATCTTTGTGTCCATTCCAAGTTGAAATTTTCTTGCCTCTGTAAAGAAAGAACAAATATAAGTTTGTCCCATTGTCTTAAGACCAAAAAGTTTTACTAAAATCAAGTTAAATTAAACCATTTTTACACTATTTAATTATATGCATCTTTCATAAACTATATGACATCATTTGGGTCCATGGCCATAAGCCGCATTCAGGTTTTGCTTCACCCGTGTAATATAATCTTACCAAACGCTTTTGTCTAACTTGGTGATGACTGACGAGTAGACATATCATTTGTAAATGAAAACTCTCAGATTACACACAAAATTGCAGCTCTTTTGTTCAAATGTCAAGTCAAGGCTCGTTTAAAGCCGCGGTGCCTAATTTTCAAACCACAGCATTTCCAACTATGTAATAAAATCCATCTAACTAGTTCCTCGCTGTTAAAATAGTTTGGTTCTATCACCACTTTTGACAGGATTGCTGTTTTGGCCTCTGTCAGATCTTTAGGGTGACAGAGGGTGGCTGAGAGAGGACCACCCTCACTCAGCCAATCAGCTCTCAGCTCTAAGTGACTCGAAAAGTGACAAGATGACGACAGCCTGTTGTGGTCTGATTTGTTCACATTTTACTTTTTTGAGACTGGCCAGGCTTAAAGCTGATGTACCGCACCTTTTCTTTCATAAAAAATACATTTTGTTTGACCCAGAGAGAGGCTTGTAAAAGTAAGAATGTTGTGTTATATTTTGCTCACTTGTAAGATAGAGCCCTGTGATTCACAAATGATGATGGGCTGATTGGTTGCACTGCAAAAAACTATGAAAATAAGTCAAACATTGCTCAAATTTGGCAGCATTTATCTTATTTTTTAGCACATTATGACGGCCTTAGAACAAGATTTGCCAATGGGAAAAAGCAAAATGATCTTGTGTTTTAAAAGATAGAAGATATGCCCTTAGTCAGTCAGTATGTGCTCAAATTAAGATAAAAACCACGATCATTACCTCATTTTTTATCATTTTTTGCAGTGTGAGTAAGGGTCATCCTCTTTTCCAGTGTGAAAACAAAAACGAAAAACAAACAAAAAATGTTACAGAGGCCAAAAAATACTTGCATGAATACATTTTGAGAGTGTAGAACTAGTTAAATATTACAATTCATTACATCATTTCTTTTTTGTGGCTTGAAAGTTAGGTTGCCGAGCTTTAAATCAGGCTTTTACTGTGCGCAGGTCTGCTACAAATGCAGCTGCTGCTCCATTACGACATGACGTATCGTGAGGTGAAGTACAGTAACCTGGGGCTGCAGAACATCGACCAGAAGATGATGTGGGGGATCAACATCACGCCCATCATCAGCCTGCTCTACACGCCGCTGCTCATCAGGTGCATGTGGCTCTGTAACAAACACACTTTCACTACCACCAGGTCATTAAGTTTCCGTCGTTAGTAGAAGAATATTAATTTGCATTGGTCAAGGAGACATATTACGCAATGCTTTTTGGGGGTTTTATTACTATTAGCCCTAATGATTATAATGCATGGGTTATTATTCTTTCACTTCATACACAGTGGTGATAAACTGTTACTGTAGCTACAGTTGTCCTGGGGCACACTGACAGAAGCAAGGGCAAGGCAACCAGTATGTGCCATCGGCCCCTCCAAATGGCTTATCAGATCAGTGGTAGTAGACCAGTGAGTAGTAGAAGAGAGCAGTGAATGTGAGAGGGCCCCCTGACTGGAAATCTAACGGTAAGCCAGGGCCTCGACCCCGGCGTGGCGGCACTGGGCGACTGCTGAGGGGTCTAGAGGTGTGAATGTGGATGAATGAGTGTGTGATTGAATCTTGTTCCTGTAGTCAACCACCCTCTTAGGAGGGAATGGTTTACGACTATAGATAGATACTGTAGATACTGTAGATTTTGTTTGCTTTGCTTGAATTTTTTGTGCACAAATTCAAATGAAATCTGTTTTAGGGCCTTCACAGCTGTGTCAAATTTCACTTGGAAAGGAGATTTAGAGGTCTGTATTAAAGCAGAAATATCCAGGCCGATTACATGTAAAATCCCTATTAACACGCAAAACTAGAATTAGAAAGTGAATGTATTTTTGAAAGCATTTTAAACCAACATGTTTTTTTAAATATTCTACTTTAAATGTTTTATTTGGGGCTTTTACAAGCTGTGAGCCGTAATTATCTAACAGGCTTGATAGATCTCTTCACTTAGAGGTTTTTTAGACACTTGAAGTCAGGCTTTTGGACAATATGATAGATAGATTGATCAGAATCAGAATCAGAATCAGAATCATTTTTATTGCCACGTAAGTAACAGGAGGTCACAGACTAGGAAATTGCTTTGGCTCAGTGCAACAGTCAAAAAGAGATAATAAAAATAAGAATAAGAATAAGAATAAAAAACACTTCTAAAGAATAAATTTAAATTTAAAATAGAGTTACAGTTACTATTTACAATATACAAGTGCACATGGTGCACACAATGTAAGGTGACAGCAGTAGAGTGAAGTAAAGTGACGTATGATGGGCAGTAAAGTGACTTTATAAAGGGCGGGGGGACAGGTTAAGAAGTGTTCAAGAGTCCAACAGCAGAGGGGAAGAAACTGTTCTTGTGGCGGGAGGTTCTAGTCCTGATGGACCGCAGCCTCCTGCCTGAGGGGAGTGGTTGGAATAGTCCATGTGCAGGGTGAGAGGGGTCGGCTGTGATACGACCAGCCCGGCCTCGAGCTCGGGCGACGTACAGGTCCTGCAGCGATGGAAGGCTGCGGCCGATCACTTCCTCTGCAGAGCGCACAATGCGCTGTAGTCTCTGTTTGTCCCTGACTGTGGCTCCAGCGAACCACACGGTGATGGAGGAGGTGAGGATGGACTCGATGATGGCCGTGTAGAACTGCACCAACATCTGTGCAGGCAGCTTGGCTTTCCTGAGCTGCCGCAGGAAGTACATCCTCTGCTGGGCCTTCTTGATGAGGGAGCTGATGGTCGGCTCCAACTTGAGGTCCTGGGTGATGGTGGTGCCCAGGAAACGAAAGGAATCCACAGAGGTGATGGGGGAGTCCATCACGGAGGGTGGGGGCGGGGGGACAGTGCTCTTCCTGAAGTCCACAATGGATAGATGGATTCTACAAGAGGAAGTTCAAGAAATCATGTCTATTGTATTTTAAATCAAGAATAACAATTTAAACCCGTGTCCTGTGATTTTTATGATAGGAGCTTAGAGCCGCACCTCATGGTAGGAAGTCAAACTTTTTTTCAAACAGTTCCGCAAGCTCTGTCCCTAAAACTTTGGATTTACAAAAACACTTGGATATACAAAACCCAAACCCATCATAGCAAGTTTTAATGTGTGGAACTTGAATATTTGTTTCTTTTTTTAAACTTACACATTTTCATTGAATACCTATACCTAAACCATTATATCTTGCAATACTATAGTACTATAATAATTGAATTCAGATATCTGGCTTTGCTTTCCCTTCACTCCCCTTATGGCTCCACTCCAAACCCCTTCTCTGATTGGTCATTAGTTACAACTCGCCCGGTCCACCTCTGTACAGCTTTACATTTCATACTGTCCCTTTAAATACTCTTTACAACTAATCCAATAAATACAATTGTTTGTATGTCTGAAAATGTATGATAATGTATCCATCTACTTTTATTTTACTGTTTTACAACAACCTGCTCAGGGACTACAGGTGTAAATTAGCACTGCTGCTACAACCTGGTACAATGCATCTCTCCTTTTGGCTAATGTTTATTGTACACTGTCCCTGTAGAAAATAAAAACCATACCATACCATACCAATAGTTACTTTTTAACAGCCGCTTTCCTATGTGCAGATTTTTAGGCACAAAGTGGATGATGTTTCTGGCCTCGGGGATCTACGCCCTCTTTGTGTCCACGAACTACTGGGAGCGCTTCTACACCCTGGTGCCCTCCGCCGTGGCCATCGGAACAGCCATCGTGCCTCTGTGGGCCTCACTGGGACACTACATGACGAGGTGAGGCTGGGGGGGAAATGAGAGCGAAAGCAGCTGCGTTTGACGTCACGGCGGAGAAGAAGGCTGCCGCTTTTTATCTATACTTAGACATCTCATGTTGAGGCCGCCCTGGTTAAAACCTCACGGTGTTCTGAAGTGATTGACCCACTTTCTTATCGAGTCGAGAGCAGAGAAAGCGTTCATCAAATATCAATGAATCCACTCGCGCAGAGGTCATAAGATTGTACAGTTCATGCCGCTCATGAATGAACTGATCAAGTGAACAGATATTCTCCGAAATTATAATGCCAGGCACTGCTTTCAAGGTAGAGGCTCAACTTTTTGCAGAAATATGTGCTAGATATACAAGATTCACAAGGTTCATGATTTATTTAGACTGTAAAAAAAGATTAAGATTAAGAGATCTTTTATTCGTATTTAACTCTATACTAAAATAAAATAAAATCTCAAACTCTAGCATAAAAAGAAGCAGTATAAAATCTCTATCTTTAGCCTAGGAAAGAAGTCTAGAAGTCTAAAAGGAAAGAAGTCAAAATTTACTCTAACTTTAGTGTGATGAAGAAGCAAGACTTAAGTACCAAACCCCCGGACTTTAGCATCATAAGGAGTATGTATAAAAGGCTGAAAAATTGTCTTGTATAGCTCTAAATCACAACAGTAGTTATCTCAGAGGACTTTACTAAACCGTTGAATTCACCAAAACAGATCAGAGAATCAAACAGCTCAAACACAAGAAAGGCAATGATAAAAAACACATTGGTTGATAAGGGGCAGATGACCAATATCTATAAATGTTGGATAAATGTCCATAAATTGTCACCATTCTTATCCACGCACTGCACTTTTTTTCTCCATCAAACACTTCAGACTTTCTGCGTTCCTCATTATAATTACATTAACATTTGTTAGAATATGACAGATGTGGCAGGCGTGGGTTGCATAGTGTCATGAGATCTGCTCAATTCAAGGATCTGAAACTGGGGGAGCATTACAAGTAGCAATGTAAAAAAAAAAGAAAAAAAGAAAAAGTGTGTTAGTTCAGTTTTGGTTTTAAGCCAAGGGGGGGGGGGGGGCACAAAGAGCACCAGCCCCTCACTGATCCTCCTGCAGGTGGTGTCTGCTCCCAAGGACACAACGACATCAGTGGGAGTTGTGATGTAGGTCTTGTGGTGGGCTCGAACCCACAACCTTCAGGGCCACTGAGCTACTGTCGCCCCATCTCTCAGTATGCAAAATATATTATTTTCCAAAAAGGTCACCAAAGCAGAGTGATCTGATGGATTTGTTCACATTACTATAACACAATTATGACGTTATCATGGCCCAATGGCTCTTTGTGTTTTTATAATTGATTGACTGCGGAACCTTCCGCAGTCAACCATTGGTTTTGTATTTCTTTATTCCGTCATTTTTTTTGACACGTTTCACAGCTTTCACATTTTCAACAATTTCCACAAGTTATACATCAAAACGTTCCACATGTTTGGGAGATTATTGCTATTACTTTTGGGACTTCAGCGATTTCCGGTTTTTCCGCAATCGGACAAAAATCTGCATTGAGAATTCTGCAATGCATTTTAATAGGCCCATGCATTTTAATAGGACTTCAGCTCTTTCAGACATTTCTACAGTTTCAATGATTCAACAGTTTCAAGGACTTCAGCAGTTTCAAGGACTTCAGCAGTTTCAAGGACTTCAGCAGTTTCAAGGACTTCAGTGTAATCATGCAACCTAATAGGGATTTTTCCATGTAAACCAGTATAATGCAACTTAATAGGGATTTTTCCATGTAAACCAGTATAATGCAACTTAATAGGGTTTTTTCATGTAAACCAGTATAATGCAACTTAATAGGGGGTTTTTCCATGTAAACCAGTATAATGCAACTTAATAGGGGTTTTTACATGTAAACCAGTATAATGCAACTTAATAGGGTTTTTTCCATGTAAACCAGTATAATGCAACTTAATAGGGTTTTTTCCATGTAAACCAGTACAATGCAACTTAATAGGGATTTTTCCATGTAAACCAGTATAATGCAACTTAATGGGGATTTTTCCATGTAAACCAGTATAATGCAACTTAATGGGGATTTTTCCATGTAAACCAGTATTATGCAACTTAATAGGGATTTTTCCATGTAAACCAGTATAATGCAACTTAATAGGGATTTTTCCATGTAAACCAGTATAATGCAACTTAATGGGGATTTTTCCATGTAAACCAGTATTATGCAACTTAATAGGGGTTTTTACATGTAAACCAGTATAATGGAACTTAATAGGGGTTTTTACATGTAAACCAGTATAATGCAACTTAATAGGGATTTTTACATGTAAACCAGTATAATGCAACTTAATAGGGATTTTTCCATGTAAACCAGTATAATGCAACTTAATAGGGTTTTTTACATGTAAACCAGTATAATGCAACTTAATAGGGATTTTTCCATGTAAACCAGTATAATGCAACTTAATAGGGTTTTTTACATGTAAACCAGTATAATGCAACTTAATAGGGGTTTTTACATGTAAACCAGTATAATGGAACTTAATAGGGGTTTTTACATGAAAACCAGTATAAAGGATAACAGTTTAAAGGATATCAGGAGCTTCAAATACTTCAGGAGTTTCAAAGATGTTTAAAGTATTTTAACAGTTTCAAGGATTTCAAGGATTTTTCAGCTAAATTCCACATTAGATCTGTTCCGCAGTCAATCGCAATGGCTTCAGCCATTGCAACGGTTTCTAGTTTCATTTGATGTGTTTGAGCTGTTTGATTCTCTGATCTGTGTTGGCGAATTCAATGGTTTTGTAAAGTCCTCTGAGATAACTACTATGGTGATTTAGGGCTATACAAGAATAAATTGAATGAAGTTGAATTTAATTTCTATTTAAACAAGACACTTTTTTGAACAAACACAATGAATTTAAGAAACAAAAAAGTGAGGTGCTCCATCTTTGATCATCTCTTTTGACACCAGGAGTCTGTAACCTATAGCTTAGAGCTACCAGCATTTTGCCCAATACGTCCAAGCCGCTCCCAATTGCAAATAATCTCCTCAATATTTAAAATGGTCATCTTCCCATAACTACATCTATTGTATATGTTTAACTTTTTGCATTAATACATCCACAATAGATTGAGTGCAGTTAGATACCTGTAAAACAATCCAAGGCATGTCGATATTGATTCCGTTTCTTTTGAACCAGTTTTTGGGAAAAATCTTGCACACACCTTCAATGGAATCTTAAACTTTTGTGCATGTTTTCTTTTTGCGGTTTTAAATGTATTCTAATGACGCTTCCCCAGGATGGCCCAGCAGTACTACGAATATGCGAATTACAAAGAGGAGCACGTCCAGGAGCAGAAGAAACTCCCGAAAGGCGCCTGTCACAAATACATCATAGTGTTCCACTCAGTCTTCCACATCATCTTCAACGTGAGTCACATCCTTTTCTTCCTGCTGGGAACGCCGCTAATGATGTCACTAAACCTAATACGTTTTTGGTGCTTTTTTTCTCTCTGGCAGCTGAGTTTTGTCTTCGCACAGTTCCCCATGCGCTTCGTCCTGCATGACAAAATCATAGACAACACATCGCACATACTCTGCAACGTCAAGGCTTGTGGTGAATATATGATTTTTTTAAATTTTTTATTGTTTTTTTTGGTTGGGGCAGAGCATGTGAATGAACACTTTTACTGCCACTTTTTTATCGTACATAATTATATCCTGCACGGACAACCTTTAACATGTTTGCACACTTCTGTCTTTTGCACAATGATTCTATCCATGCCAAATGTGACATGTACATTTCTCCAGTGTGAGATCAATAAAGTCCATCTTATCTTATCTTACACACCTCTCCGGACTGTAATCTTGTGCTAACTGGCCTTAGTTTCCCCACACTCGTGCTCACTAACACTCACTTATTCACCCTGAACTATTGTACATGTTTTTAGCGGTAGGGGAAAACAGAGCACCCGGAGGAAACTGACACAGACACAAGGAGAACATGCAAACACCACACAGAAAGGCCTGGAGGTGGAATCGAACCCAGGATCTTCTTGCTGTGAAATACAAGCAATTCAATAAAATTCAATTCCTGTATAGCCCTGAATCACAACAGTAGTTTTCTCATGGGATAAGATAAGATAGACTTTATTGATCTCACACAGGAGAGTTTTACATTTCACATTTGGCATGGATAGAATCACTCAGATTTGTGCAAAGACAGAAGGTTAAAAATATAGTCATGTTCATGATATGTACAATAAAAAAGTGGCAATTAAAGAAACAGTGAAAAAAATGGACATGACTGCACAGCTTTTGCTCCAAAGGGATTTTAATTCTCACACCGTCACCTTGTGTGGTGAGAATTAAAATCTCTTGGGAGCAAAAGCTGTGCAGAGTCATCTCCATTTTTTTCATTGATCTATTTTAGAATTGGATGTGCGCGTCAATCTCCCTCTTGCTCTACAATTAAAGAAACAGTAGCATTGGTAGTGCAGGTCTTTTAGTCCTAGTGCAAGTGACTTAAAGTGACTTATTGTACAGTCTGACAGCGGTGGGGATAAAGGCCCTGCAGTAGCGCTCCTTCCTACACTGAGGGTGCCTCAGTCTTCCACTGAAGGAGCTCCTCAGCTCCTCTACAGTTCTGTGCAGTGGGTGGGAGGTATTGTTCATGATGGAGGTGGCTTTGGCTAGCACCCTCCTGTCCCTCACCTCCTCCACAGAGTACAGGGAGCAGCCCAGAGTGGAGCTGGCCCTCCTGACCAGCTTGTTCAGTCTGCTCCTGTCCCGCTCTGTGCTGCCCGGGGCCCAGCACACGGCAGCGTAGCATATGGCAGAGGCTACCACAGAGTCATAAAAAGTCCTGAGCAGAGGCCTGCTCACTCCGAAGGACCTCAGCCTCCTCAGAAGGAAGAGGCGACTTAGTACCTTCTTGTACAGGGCGTTGGTGTTCTAAGACCAGTCCAGTTCATTGTTAATGTGAACACCCAGGTACTTGAAGCTGTCCACCAGTCCACCATTATCAACACAGATCAGAGATTCAAACAGTTCAAACACCAGAAATAAAACAGAAAATACATTGGTATTGGTCCATAAGAGGCAGAGGACCAATCTCTAACAGACCCTCCTTCACACCCATATTGAACAAAATCTACTTGCTAAAGAGGTCTTCTGTAACATTTATGGTTTAGCTCCATTCAGAGTGGCAATTGACGTCACTAGGAGTGGACTATGGAGAGAATCCATGCACTAATAGACTGGATCAGCTGATATCCATGTTGGGACTTTGTTTTGATTGTTTTGATGCAGTGAGCCTTAAACAAGATTATAAGAAATACTCCCAGACTCGACTGCCAACATATTCTCATCCTAATCAGTGCACAAGGCTGCTACAGGATTTCTATAATCGTGTTGTTTTCATCTTATAAGAAAACATTTTATCTCAAATGCAGGACTGCCAAAAACACAACATTTAATAGTCAAAACTCAAAAATGAAGAATCCAGGATATAACAAAACTCCAAACTCAATGCCATGGACTGACAACAAGAGGAGAAGGGCAAAGGGTTTAAGTACATAAGTGAAACACATGAGGAGACACACAATCAACGCAACAGGCTGGAAGTAAGGGAACAGGAGAACAAATACATCAACATTTATTTGGTCAGAAAAAAATCAACAAAAAGGTCTACACCAGGACAGCAAACTTGCAAAAAGAGCCACATGAAAGGGGATTGGCTGAGCTACAGTTGGTCCTCTCTATTTCTCTTCTGTCTGAAAAAGGCAGATCTAGGGAAGACCCAAAACATTTGTAAACTACTGATTATTCACTCAGGAACATTTCCTAGATTTCTTGAATTTGCAAGTAATAGGCCTTTCATGAGAAACTCTTTGTTCTCTCTTCAAAAACCTTTTTATATGAATGGCCCTTTGTCTTTGGATTTCAAATTAGTCTTGCTTCCTATTTTGGTTAAAACTATTTGTGGAAGAAGAAATGTCTCTCTTCCTTAAATTGACCAAAACAAATGCGAAATGCTCTGATTGAAAGAGCATTTTTTTTTCCACTGCAAGACGGTAGAAACTGTTGACTGTAATCAAAGCCACTTAATCTCATCCAACAAACTGAACACTCATAAACGTCATAAACACAGAGGCCATATTTGTAGTAACTTTTTCTCTCAAATTGGCAAAACTGTTTTGTAATCCATCTTATTTATTTATAGAGCACATTTCACAAACAAGATTCCAAAGTTCTGCACAGAAAAATGAGAGCTATAGTATAACAAATTGTTGTACTATTAATAGTTATGAAATAGATAAGAAAATAAAAAAGACAATACATTTATTAGAAAACAAAAACAATAAAAACATATTATTATTGTTATTATTTGCCGGACCACAAGCCTCACTTATTTTATCACTTATTTTATCCCATCAGTTTATATAGTGATGCATTACTTTGTTTTCTAATTTAGTCGGTGCGGGTTATATACAGGTGTACTTGATTATCCCAGCAAGTACTATAGTCAGATCAAAAAAATAAAAAATACATACAAACATACATATACATACAGATCCACATATAAACATATAGACATATACATACACACACACACACACACACATACATACATACATACATATATACACACATACATACATATACATCCATATACATAAAACATATATGTAATACAAAAAATATATATATTTAAAAAATAAAAATGAAAATATATATGGATGTGTATGTATGTATATATGGATAGGTATAAATATATTATTTTATTTTATTATATTTATTTTATTTGTTGTTTTAGATTTTATTTACTTTGGATCAAATGATGTGTGTATATGGAGTGTGTGAGGGAGGGGGTGGGTTTAGGGGGGATGGGAGGGAGGGTTTGGGATAATTGGTATTTTTCTTTATTTTTTTTCCACTTTTCCTGTTTAATATGTTATTATGAGACAAACAGAAATACCAAATAAATAAAATTTAAAAAAAATAAAAAAATAAAAAAAATAAAATGAGGACAGAACTCACGCAGAGTTAAAAGCCACAGAATGAAAGTGGGTCTTAAGATGAGACTTAAAACATTAGGGAGCATTTTTGTCATTCAAGTTATGCCATAAATTAAAAAAAAAACTGCTTGAAGAATCGCGTACATACAGTAGACGATGAAGAAGACATTTTATTTTTTATAGCACATTCATACAGGACAAGGACAGTGCATTAAAATAAGCCACAAAAGGACAATGCAGGGAGAACGACACTGCCTCAGGGTAAGAAAGTCCAAACAAGTGCGTCCTTAGTTCTTAGGCACATTTAGTATTATTAGGCACAGCATTCCATTTACAAGGAGCATACAGGAAGCAATGCAGATGTAGATGTGAAATTAAAGCTTATAAAAAAATATATAGTATAGTCAAATCCAAACTACATGTGGTTTTTAACATTTGCTTTGACCTTGATGACGAGATGCCCTTCCCTCTGTCTCAGGTGCCGACATCAAAGGATTGATCCCTGGGTTTAATACAACCGTGTTATCCAGCCTGCCCCGATCCATGCTGCTGATTGAAGTTGAAAGCGTTCTCATGGGATTTGCCTTTTTGTCTATGATCATGGTACAAATCAACACGCACACACACACACACGCACACACATAGACACACACCGCTTCTTTTGGCCTGACTAATATGGGTTCTGACTGAAATGGGAAAAGGGATTTGGCAGCAGAGAGAATTACTATATCAACTCACATTTCAACAACAAAAATATAGCTGAAATAAAACACTGGGAACCAGTATTTTTTGCCTGTACATTTCTTCTGCAAAAGTAGCAGGTTTTTGTGATCATATTTGAGTTGATGAGGGTTGAAGAAGCCAAGGTTTTTTGCACTGAACCTTGGGATTTTCTGGGTTTGCCGTACTGCAGTTTCAATGTTAAAATCATCGCATTTAAACTAATGTGTTGTGCATGGTATTTTTTTGGTATAGCAGACCTACTTGTATAATCAAAAGCTTTGCAGGCTTTGAGGGTCAAAACCAGGTTCAGATCATTTTGCGAAATACTGTAATTCAATCTCAACAGACTCCATAATCAATCAATAATAATAATAATAGTATGCAGTTAATTTATATTGCACTGTACATTTCCGGGAAACCTCAAAGTGCTACGGAATAAAATAAAGTACAACAAACAACAAAGAAGTACATACAAAATCACTCATGTTCTTATAACTATTATTTTTTTAACAGCAACTTGCTTCTCTGCTAAAATGATCCAAACTAAAGTGTTGTAGTCCCATAGAATACAATATATTAACGCAGGCTCTTGTTGCTAGTTCCTGGTTTTATGTGGTCCGGCTTTCCGTCCGACTGAGGAGATTGACCTGCGCAGTATCGGTTGGGGGAACATCTTTCAGCTGCCGTTCAAGCACCACAGGGACTACCGCCTCAGACTGCTCTGTCCCTTCTTCATCTACAGCGGATTTGAAATCGTGTTTGTCGTGTCTGGATTCTCCCTGGTACTTTTACACATTCCTCATTATCTCTTGTATTCTTGGCTTTTACGTCTACTGCCCAATGCGAAACAATGTCTTTGTTTTTGCCCTTTACGACATGATTTGTTTGTTGGATTATTATTATTTTTTAATTTATATTTTATTAGTTTTCTTTAGATCATAGATATAAAGTTACAATTGAATCTAAAAACAAACGGATAAACAAAACATAGATAAAAATTGATAATAATGAAGAAGGAAGCTGGATTTCATTATTTTTCTGAATCGGAATTATTATCATTGTCATTGTTAGTAACAGGAAGTCACAAACTAGGAATTTGCTGTGGTATATGGTGCAAACCTCAAAGTATATACGGTTTTGAGACATAGCCCTCAACCCTGCTGTTCTGAAATCAACTAGTCAAATCAATATCCTACATTACTCATGAAAAAAAGTTTTGTTTAAAATTATCGGCTTATATATATCTCTCATTCATTCTTATCTGGTTCAGCAGTTTTCTTTCACATGCAATCAGTGTAATAAAGCTGGGATACCTAACCGAGCCTATTTTGTCATAAATAACACATCGTCCTGATGATAATCGTAAATGATGTGAAAAACTTGTAAAAGGAGCCTATAGTCACTTTTTGACGCTTTGGGCTGAGAATTGATTGAGGCTGAGTGAGGGTTGTCATCAATTGTCAACTTTCACTTTGAAAAAGCAAAACTAAAGATGTGACAGGGGCCAAAAAAAATGTGCATGTGAAGACTAGGGATGGAGCCAAACTTCTCTGAAAGTGAGGAACTAGTTGGATTTTTTTAAATATTGTTCCATTTTCTGTGGTTCCAAAGTTTGACACCCGGGCTTTAGTTCACATAGTGTTAAATGTTAGATTGTGGCCATACCTGAATGAGAAAGCCAGATGGGAGACCTCTGGGAACATCCGGTGCCACAGAAAGGGGCCGCGGCTGTAAATTGCCAAATGGTTGTTGTGTCCTTAGGCAAGACACTTCACCCCCATTGCCTTGAATGACTCTAGTGTATGTGTGTGTGTGAACCAATGGTGGTGATCAGACGGCACATACTCGTTGCCATGCTTTTGTCAGTAGTTGTTTATAACCACTGTGTATGGAGTGAGTGAATAATGTGAATCGCCTTTGTGTGTCCAAAAAAGCGCACTATAAAACCTATGTATTATGTATAAATGACAGAACGTAAAAACATGTATTTTTCCTCAGTCCTACGGCGTCTGCGCACTGGGGTTGAAGAAGTTATGGCTCATTGTTGTGATCTACGGTCTCTCCGCCTCCGTCTTCTCCTCCTTGTCCTTGTTCCTGCTGCGCCTGCCCCGGTACGTGTGCCTCCTAGGGGGCGCTGTGGTGCACGGGGTTCTCCTTATCGCCCTGATGGCCTTCTCCCCAACACCAGGAGGAAACAAGTGCGGAACAGTGCCACCTGAGAACAGCCCAGATTATATGGCGTCCATCCTCATCATCGCCGCCCTGTGGGGCCTCGGCACGGCGCTGAACAAGACGGGAGTCGGGAGTAAGTCATCACGTTTTCAAATAAAGCCTGGAACACGCTGCTAGAGGAGAATTTGTTAGATATTTTCTCCACATGAGCAATTTGAACCCTGCTGTGCTAATGCTCTTGTCAGAATTTGTGACCGAAGAAAAAAATGCTTAAAAAAGAACAGGTGCAGACAGAGGGAGAATGTAATCTTGATTTAAAAAGCAGTCGTTATCTATATATGAATGAAAATATGTTTATTAATTCAGACTTCCAAGCAGTTAAAACAACCAACATACAATATATAACAAATGCAGGGGGAAAAACCAGAATGCAAACATCATAAAAGATAAAACCAGTTTAAAATCCAGACACAATTGAACTAGATAATTCATAAATACGAAATAGTAAAACCTGATCTCAGTGGACAGTCAAATGAAGGCCGTTCGATAAAAGTTTGAAGTGGTCTAAAATATGGTACTGTTGCTTCAAACCTTATTATCTCAAGCTGGTCGTTTCAAAGCTGAAGAGCGCCGAACAAAAAAGACACAATCACCCATTTGCTTTGTATTTAATATGCTGAAATTTGCAGAGAGATAAAAGATAAGACAACCTTTTTTCGTCCCACAGTGGGGGGGTGGGTTGAAGCGCACACACACAGAACAGTAGTAACAATACGTCAATGAGACTTTTGCAACTCTCGATATTATATTTACTTCATAAAATAAGTACATTTGAATACTATATATATATAATCTAATATGATCAATTTAAGGCCCATTGAGATATTTACAACAACTACAGCATTTGACGAACATCCCACCAACTGTAAATGTTCTATCACGTATAATAATGCTGATCTATGTCATCTCCTTGTGCGAATAGGTATATTGAGAAAAAAAGAACTTTACAAATATGACCTTTTCCTTTTAAAATACCTTGTCAAGCATTCATTTCTATCAATACAAGCTTCTAAAGGGTTAAGATTTAATGACTCATTCACTCAGAGCTTATAAGATCATGGTCTTAAAGCAGTGTTGTAAGAAAAGTGACAATAAACTGACTTTTTATACTTCATGCTGAACTAAAAACTCCTATCTCCTGTGTCCTGTCTTTGCAGTTCTGGTGGGGATATTGTACGCTGAGGAAAAAGAGCGTCTTGACTTTGTGTACACCATCTATCACTGGCTGCAGGCGGTGGCCATTTTCGTGGTGTATTTGTGGGCCGATATGGCGATGAGGGTGCGTTCTCTCACTGACCTCAGTAATATCAGCGCGTCACGTCTGTAAAAAGCAACGTGTCGAATTTGTCTCCCTTTCTCCCGCCTCAGATCAAACTCGGTGTCCTCTTGGTGACGTTGTTGCTGGCCTCGTATTGTTACATTGTGATGGAGAGAAGGCTGGTCAATAAAGTGCCCTACAGGCTGCCGAGAATTCCCCGTCCAAAACACAAGGTACAAGAGTGTGTGAGTCAACAGCTCATATCAGCTCCTACTTGTTTTTTAAGGTTGCGTTAGATTTATAACTTAGTTAGTGGTGAAAAGGGATATTTTGGTGATGTTTCACTGTGATAAATGAGCAGAAGTAAGATTATCTAATAACAATGTAGTGATATTGCTGATTCCCTTTTATGTATTGCTTTTCTGGATCCTCAAAGATACAGCGGTGGTAAACTTTTTCACTAGCCTAATGTTTGCCATTGGCCACTCTGACCACCACTAATCATTCACACATCATACACACACTTGATCGCACACACACAGAATCAGAATCCTTTTCATTGCTATGTGAGTAACAGGAAGTCACAAACTAGGAAATTGCTTTGGCTCTCGGTGCAAACAAGTTAAATCAGAATATAAACAAGAAGGCATGCATGAATAAAAATCTACATAAATTTCTTCAGTTTACTATATACACACACACACACGCACACATACACGCACACACATACACACATACACACGCCAGCATGCACACACACACGCACACGCACATACAAATATGTTTTTCCATCTGTTTATATTTATTTAGTGTTCTTCCAGTGCAGAAAATCCAGTTCTATCAATGCCTGAATGATTTTCCTCGAGATGCTCCGTTTCCCTGCACCATTAAAAACCTTAGTATGTAATAACTGAGTGAATAGTTGGTGGTTGGAGGGTCCAGCTCGTCTCTGCGTCTGTCACTGTGTGTACTGTTTCAGTTTCAGTGTCAGTTTAGTTTATTTCAAAGGGGACAATGCAATTTAATAAAACACACAATTAAACAACATGAGTTTAAAAAAGGCCAGAATTAACCAAGGAGGCTATTTTTCATCTGTAGCCCCCTGGCCGTGATGTTAAAGTGATTGTTTGGAGTTTGTCAGAAAGAGAGCGAGAGGTACTTGATTTGAAAAAAACAACGCAAGCTCCCTCCCCCTTCCTTTCTGATTGGTCTACACCTACAGTACGTTTCCGTAACACTTTGAAATGTTAATCAGAGAACACATTATACATATAGATTATTAATACACATGCACGGAGGTTTTCAGAATTATTTGTGAACGTTTTAATGAATTTTTTTTAAATTAAGTTTTGTTTTATGCACAAAAAAAGCGATCCCAGCAAACCAGGAAGTGCTATTATCATCAATTGCACATTATAGGAAAAATCTGCAGAGGATCTGATTATGGATATAGGTTCAGTATATACATAAGTACCTCAGCGCGGATGTTCAGAATTCTTTGTTCAGTTTGTTCAAGGCCAGGAGGTCAATTTAGCACATTTCCTAAAATTTGTAATTAATTTAGAGTTACAGACTATCACTTTAAAAAGCTGTTCAAATACATTAAAAATACATGAACATAACAAAAATACAAGACAAAGACAACATCAATCAACATTATAGTGTTGACACATTAGACAACCTTCATTTAAGAACACACTATATTACAATATTATAAGACTTAAGCATACAGGGCATCAGTGAGGCAGCTGTATGTGTTTACCATCCATTCCTTCAGGTGTTGTGTAAAAGCACTGTATGTGTTCTGCTGTTTAACAGTCTGTGGTAGTGAGTTCCACTCTCTGGGGCCACTCTCTGGGGCCTCTAACGGACCAGGCAGACTGACTGAAGGTGATCCTAGGGATCACATCTCTCACGGAGCCTCTAGTGAGCTGCTCACTTCAGTTCCTTTGACTTATTAGAGCCGTGAGAATGAAGAGTCGCTTTGTACAGTAAGCGTAGATTTGATATAAGATCTGGCCAACTTAGAAAGGAATACTTTTCCAAAATTAAACAGTGATGGTAAAATTTTGGCTTTTTATCCATTACTTGGATGGCTTTCTTGTATAAGATTATAAGTGGTCTTAAATTAGTCTGATGACAATAACGATGAGCTATATTGCATTTTTATATACCCAAACATTATTTAACATTAAAAAAATGAACTGCCAAATTACATTTTCTCAAGATATGTTTTCATGTTTATTATCCACAAATATCTCTTTGGTGAGAGTCAGAAGTGTCCATTCAAAGTGTAAGGCCTTATGTAAGTAGAGACTGTATCAGTTATTGCTTGGTTTCCCTCCTCTTTCGTGTCTCAGCTGTTCGTTCGTCTGTCATGGCTGCTTGTGTCCGCAGGTCAAAGGTTACCGCTATCTGGAAGAGGAAAACTCGGATGAGTCAGACCCGGACAAGAGTGACCAATCTGACGAAGACACCGAAGAAGAGGAAGAGACGGACACGGAGGACGAGGAGCATGTGCCCGGAGAGGAGGACCTCGGAGGAGCTCGAGGACACGACTCACCCAGGGTTCACCGGCGTCTGTCATGGGAGGAAGAGAAGGAGAGGAAGAGGGAAGAGAAAGGGAGGATGAGGAGGGCTGTGGAGGGGGGCAGAGAGGCTGAGGAAGAGGGCAGAGTAGGATGAGCAGGTCTGGGGAGAGAAATACAGAGATAAATTTGGTGATGAGATAAATTCATTGGGATCAAAATATGTCAGAAACAGAATAATTTATGAATGACTACACAACAAGTTGGTCAACTGTGCTAAAAAGACGCACAAAAAGAAACATACATAAACAACAACATGGACATTTACATCGGGGATTAGGCGAGGGACCGACTGGCAGTGGGAAAGATGCTGTAAAATGTGATGATCAGTGGTAGCTTGCTATAGCTATATGATGTCACATAATCATTTGAACCTTTCAACATTGATTTCAAGGTTGGGATACCAAACTTTCAAATGTTACTATGTAACACAATCCATCTATCTAGTGCCTCGCTCTCAAAACAATTTGGTTCAATCCCTATTTTTTCACACAATTTTTTTCCGGCAAAAAACTCAGCTCTCTTTAAACGGAGACACACAGGGCTCTTTCTTACAAGAATGCAAACGATAACATGTTTTTCGATTGATGACGGCAGGTTGTGGTTCGATTTCTTCACACCAGTGTACAATAGATTCACTTTCATCCCTTTATTATCCATTTCTGGGTCAGGGGGCAGAAATGGCAATCAGAGCTGCCACCCAATTCACAATGCACCAGTCCCTTGCTGATCCTTCTGCAGGTGGTGGGTCCACAGGAAGATGGCTGCTCCTTCAACGCAGATGCAGCCTTGATCTTTCAGCAGGGACTTCAGGCAAAGTGGGGTTAAGTGTCTTGCCCAAGGACACAACAACAGCAGTCATCAGTGGGAGCAGGTGACATGGGTAGTGGTGGGATCGAACCTTGAACACAATACAATACAATACAATTTATTCTTGTATAGCCCTAAATCACAACAGAAGTCATCTCAGTGGACTTAACGAAACCATTGAAATCACCAACAGTTAAAACACAAATAATAGAACACATGTAAAAAAAAAAAAAAAGTCCAGCTCTGTCTGTTGGATAAAACACATATATTATATTTGGATAAAGGCTGGTATACCCCGCCTTTTACATGCCATTACTTTGCATGTAGTGTATTCACGTGTGCACTGGCCAGACATGATTGACAAAGAGTTTCATACTGTTATTATTCTGTATTTTCTCAGAAGAAGAAATAGAGGCTGAAACAGAATGAGGAATTGATTTTTTTCTGAAGATGTTTTGAAGTGTGTTGATGAAGCCATTTAGGAGGTTTTATAAGCCTACCCCTGTCTGGTGCGTGCACAAACCTTGCTTGTGTATAATTGCAAGCTGTCTTTGTTTATTTTCTCTTTGTTACCTTACCTTTCCACAAAACTGCGCTCCTCATTGTCTGACTCGCTGTTATTGTTGCTCAAAAAGTGCTGCTCTCTTTCACAATCCAGCTTCTCCGTTGGGCGACTTCTCTGGTATTACTCATTTACATCATGATTATATTATTAAATACCCTCAAAAACAGACTCTCCCCTCCACACATGTCTCAGTTCGGTGAGATAATAGAGACGAGAGAAACTTTGCATTCTAAAGCGTGATATTTACATCAAGTTCCCTCAGAAAGCTGGTTGTTTTTTTAAGACCTTTTAGCAAATAATGCATATAATTTTATACATAAATATTTTCTATCAAAATACAATGTGGAAACTAAAAGCACTTGGCATTGTAAATACTAAATAATCTCTAACTTCTGCATTTGTACTGTGCCTTTGCCGAAGCTGGAGATGGTGGTACTATATTTCCACGGGTTGATGACCACTAAAGATGACACAGAGCTGCACTTTTTATGGAACTTAAACTAAAAACTTATTTTCTTTAACATTGTTTTTGAGATTTCTCCATGATTATGCTCGGTGTGTAGTGAGAGCCATCGCAAGAGAGCCGTGATTTGGTTTATTCTTGGTTTTAAGCATCCTGTTTACAGATAATAAAACAGTCTGGTCTGTTCATTAATGTCCAAAACTTTATGATAATTATGGAAATGGACATTAGCTGGATTTTATTTTTACATCGACATCACATGAGACCTGTCTATTCTGTCAATCAAGATCATGGCAATACCTAAAAACAACTTGACATATTTTGTTTGGACTGATGCATTGCAAAACCAAATCACAGATATTAATTCACTTATGTTTCTAGAACGTGTCAAAGCTGAATATTTTCACACTGTGGTGGAACGGGTTCTGATTAAAACAGTTTTTGTCATAAAACAATGTGATGAAGTCTTGTCATTGTGTTGTTCCTCGAAGTGGTGGGAGGCTGTTAGAAACTCACCCACTTTATATAAAGTAAGTGATGTAATCGGACTGTTTCCATGGATATTTAGTTGGAGAGATGTGTTAAGGTGGACAGTGGACACACACACACACATACACACACATAAACACAATAAATACTACTACTTTGTTTATGACATATTGTATCTGTGCGAACGTCAATTCCTGGGATGCATTCACACTTAGTCCCATTGAAAGGATCTCGGGTTCACTTCAGACTATTTCTGGTTCACTTCTGGCAAACTAAACAAGTATTATGTTAAAGCAAGAGGATGACTGCTGTGAGCTGAGAATGTCTCTCTTTCTGCTTGTCCCAGATATTGATTCAAGTCACGATCAAATTGCTCCAACACTGCAATATTTTACTCATTACTAAAATTCTCCTATAATCAAGGTTCTTTACAATAAAAATATGACAGAAAAGACCTTAGAATGGTCTTTTTCCAGATACTTTTCAGAGGTTTACATCTCTCCCATCAAGGCTAAGTGTTTGTTTTTTGAATATGAATTGTCATTTTCTGCTTTACATCTCATTTATAGTTTTGCACCATAAAAACCACAGTGTGTAAAGAATATATGTATAATATATCCCAGATCTGATAGAGTAAGCAAGTAAGTAATCTTTATTTATATACCGCCTTTTCACTGCACATCGGAGTCTCAAAGCGGTTTACAATTGTTATTTTTGGGATTGGGGGTGCCAGTACAGGAGGCACATGCCAGACCTATTGTACATATTTTTAGTGGTAGGGGAAACCGGAGCACCCGGAGGAAACCTACGCAGACACGGGAGAACATGCAAACTCCACTCAGAAAGGCCCTGGTCCGACCGGAATTCGAACCCAGGACCTTCTTGCTGAGAGGCGAGAGTGCTATCCACTCAGCCACCGTGCCACCGAGACCAACAATAACTGTTTTTATTATGGTTTACTCAACTGAACTACTTTTTGACCCGGCTACTTGCTCTCCTCCTGAAAAAAAACCTCAAACACACTTCCATATCATGATTCTCAGTTTAATTCACTTCTAGAACAAAATGAGCATTGATAGAAAATTATCCGTCAGATAGAGGTAGCTGCTCTTGCCGTGCTGGGGCCCTCTCAGTGGCGGATACGTCTGATGGACTGGATCTTGGGGGTCTGGCAGTGGGAGCCCCAGATCCTCCAGTGCTGGTAGTCTCCGCTGTGTTTCTCACACTCCATGATGTACTGCTGGCCCCTGTAGCCCGGGTACTCGTAGCACACGAAGCTGAACAGAAGAAGAGAAGCAGATGTGAGAATGGTATTTTGGGTTTTGTCGTGAATCTATGTGTGTGTGTTTTTTAAAGACTATGTTGGGGAAAAACTAAATACAAGCTCAATTCACCTGTTCTGATAATCCACTAGTCATTTTACCTGCTGCTATTATTACTATTGTTTATTCTGCTCTTATTCTCTTATTTCAACTATCTGTAAATACATCATGAAAAGTGCTAAGGCTTATACTCCACAAGTGACTTATCCTTGAAGCAATGCAATTATAGCTCCAGAGTTTTATTATATTATGATATTATTCTATGATCTATTACCTCAAACAATAGATCCTGTTTGAGTGCTCCCCACTGAAGGATGAATAAATGTAAATGTCCACTTTATTGTCCCCGTAGGGTAATTCGTCCTCTGCATTCGATCCATCCTGATGCCACAAAGACGTCTGTCAGAAGCAGTGGTCGCCATAGTAACAGCGCCCGGGGACCCATCTCCAGATGTTTGTACTCTCGGTCAGGACCAGAGCTGGAGAATTTTACCTACTGTACATGTTTTTTAATGGTAGGAGAAACTGGTGCACCCGGAGGAAACCTACTCAGACACGGGGAGAACATGCAAACCCCACTCAGAAAGACCTCGTTCCGAACCCAGGACCTTCTTGCTGAGAGTGCTATCCCCTCAGCCACCAGGTTGATCTAATCTCATCTCCACTACCCCAGCTTTGACTCTATAGGGTTAGGGTGCTGTCAGTGTGTACCATGAGTAAAGTAAACCCTATGGCAGGACTCACGCTCCGCACTGCACATGCATGGATCCGACCTCGGGCCTGAACCAGCCCATGGCCTGCAGAGAGGGGTAGTCATCGCACAGCTCCGTACAGCGGCCCATGAAGTTCTCCCTCTCGTAGATCGTCATGCGGCTGCTCTGGTGAGACTGCGGAGGAAGAGAGGAGGCGGGATTGTGTCAAAGTTACTGCCAAATATGTCAGACAGTTGTACGGAGTGACTTGTCCTGGGCTATTTCTGTGCCTTTTGACACTCATTGCTTGTTATTTTGATGACATTTAAAGGCCTTTCACATATTTCTCCACCTATAGATGCCGTTAAAAATAAACCAAAGAAGACGTGACATAATTAATGCATGTGCAAACTTTTAGCCCAGTGCGTTTACAACCATAAATCATTCACTCCAACCTGCAGGTTTTATCCAGCCTCAAAAACAGATACAATTATTTATATATATTTTTGGAGATTCTAACTATTAAACATTTATTACACAAGCTGCTTTTGTTAGCTGTAAAATTAGAATTGTTGACCCCCATGGATTTTGAACATCAATATTGATCTGAACTGACTTTCACAAAAACAACAATTTCACTGATTTCCACCTTGAAAATGTCCCCTACTTTATGGCTACCCTTTAACTAGGGCTGGGCGATATGGCAAAAAAGTAAAATCTCGATTTTACTTCCTGCTTTGGACGATGTCGATTTTAAATCGATTTTCATTAAAGTCACTCAAGACAGACTTTGCCCTTAAAATATGTTTTATCTTCCCGCTAAATATTTAAGTTTCAAAACTATTTTTTATTCGTTTCCCCCAAAACATATTATAAAAGTCTAGTACAGACTGTGCTGATATTGCAAGTATAATTGATGTGCTGCTGGAGCTCTCACAATGTCCTTCATTCAATTTCACGATTTTCACATTTTTCACGAATTCGATTTTTTCAAAAGCCGATTAATTGCCAAAATTCGATTTATTGCCCAGCCCTACCTTTAACACAATACTTAACTGTGAACATAATCACAACAAAGTGCCAGTATAGCAGAAGATCATAATAGCAAGCCCTTGACCTTAACCCTAACCCTAACCCACATGTCAGTTAGTAGTTAGTTATATGTGGAATAAGGCCATGTAGAATAAGGAATAATGAGTGCTTAATAAACACAAATTAAGAACTAATTATGCAAACATTATACACTAATTTGCACTTAAATACTTGTCAATTAGTTAGGGCTTTTTCCCCCAAGTATTTTTTCCCCAAGTGACCCAGACATGGCCCAGTTAAAGTGAACCAGACCTTTTTAACTTGTACATAATGTATGCAATGGCACCACTATTTTACACCAGCATGGGTATTAGTCCATCCCCTCTTGATATAAAAGGTTCAAAACGCTCACTTTTGCACTAAATGTCTTAAAGTCTACTCACAGCGCAGTAGATGGGGCGGAAAGACTTGAACCACTCGGTGTGGTAGGCCAGGTTTCCGGTGTAGGACTCCCAGTTGGGGTACTCTCCACGCTCCAGGATAAACTGCTGTCCCTCAAAGTGATGATGCTCGTATCCAATCCAACTGGAAAACACAGTATTACACAGGGACGCAGATGAACCAGTGGATATAAGGCAGAAGAACGAAGGAAGTATTGTTTTCTCAAAGTCTAAAGCACAATACTTTTGATGCTAATATATGTAAATGACTGTATCTGCTTTCCCTTTGAATTAAAACTCTTATAAACTAAATGTTTTGGTCGCAATCACTTAGACTGGTTAGATTTTAGATGGAGATATTTGGTTTGGAGCATAAAAGTGTTCACAGCTTTTGGTTCACTCCCAGCCAAATTGCAAAAGTCATTATTTGGCCTTTCGCTTATTTTATTCATGATTGTGTGCGCGAGTTATGGCCGGACAGAGAAAGACCAGTGAGAGAGTTTGATAAAAATATATAGCAGGAAAGGGGACTACTTTATACTGGTACAAAGAAATCTATTAAACTTATAACTGATTTTTTTGTTTTATAATATTAAAGCCAAAAGTAGGCCTGCACCAACATTTTAAAGATTGCTGCTATTTTAGGTGATAGAAATTTGATGAAAAACAGGTAGACAAACAGCTTATACTTATAACCCTACTCACGCATGTGTCCGGCCGGTTTTGTGATTGTCCGAAATATGATATAGATTTTAAATGAGGTTTGCAATGAAAATATTCAGTTATCAAACCAAACCAACGTATCATTTTAGTTTCTAGTACAAAAACCAAAATCGAAATCGACATTCGAAATCTGAAATCGAGATCGGTAAATACAGGAAATATAAGTCCCCCAATTATAGATGACCTAGCTCTATATGAAGGTAAAAGAGTGTTATGATTGGCAGTGAAGTATATGTTTTCCCATGCATGGACCTAACTATACTCCAAGCCATTCACAATTTAGCATTTTGAATCTTTAAAACTCTCTGTCTGACCGTATTAACTGCTTTTCACTCTGGCCAAAGCCATCTCAGCCTCTTGCATCTATCAAAGTTAAGAGGCGCCTAACCCCATCACCGCTCACAACACGTGGGATGTCTTAACAAGGTGACTGTCTTTTTCTCTCTTTTTTTTCTCTCTCTCTCTTTTTCAAGCCGTGGGAGCCTGGACACTACTTTCTCTGGTCTCATTTACGTCCCGGAGCCAGTCAGCTGTCCACAGAGACTCGCAGGCGTACAGGCTGGATGACTCACGCTCCACTCTCCACTCTGATGGAGCGGATGTTGTCGAAGCCGCACTCGTGGATGTTGCAACATTCCGAGGTGAACTCCATGCACTTGCCCTGGAAGTGCTCCTGCTCGAACACGGTCACCTGGAGGAGAAAGAAAGAAGGGGCAGAGGTCATGTTTGCAATCCGTGCGTTCAAAGGGAAATTCTATAGACGGTGTATTTACCCTGAAGAAAGGAGCCATCCCCATGCCGTTGGAGAACATGGGGTAGTTATAATGGGAGTTTTTATGGAATCGATTCATCTGTAAACAAGAAAAACACATATATGTAGTAGCCCTGTACTGTAAATACGACCTGTATAAGCCACAGCGTGAAACACATCCACAACCTCTCATGTCATTGGATTTCAAAGATTCACAAGATGATTTTCAGATGCATTTTTCAAAAGATTACACACAGTTTTAACCGTGAAAGTAGTGAAATATATACAAAAGTAAACAACATTATAGGATGAGCTGTGTATGTGTTGACTGCTAAAATACTCACTAATACTAAGTACTAAAAACTGTATTATAGGTACTATTTTGCAATGGTTGTCAGAAGTTCGGGAACACCAGACCTATGGCCCTATATCCTTCCAAACCTTTTATCACACTACAAACATGACTAGAGTAAGTGGAGGATAGAGTTCATAATATATTTAAGTAGTTGTAGTTGAATTATGCTATTAAAAAAAGTATATTCTAACTTACATATTGCCAATTTTTTACTCAAGAAATCTAAAATGCAAACAAAATGCTATAGCCTACTATGTTTTACAATAACTGGTTGTTCCATTAGTAAACATGATTTTAGATGCTGTTGGAGCTTCATCCAAACCCGTTTTAGTGCGTTTAAAAAGTAAAAAAAAAAAAAAAAAAAAGTAGAGTTAAAAGTAGAAGTTAAAAGTGTACAGTTAAAATAAGGAGTTAAAAGTAGAACTAAAATATCCGTAAATTAACCAAAACATGTCCACTCATTGTCTTTGATTTTTACAGTGTAATTATTATGTCTATATTAAGCTTATTTATATATATATTTTTGAGTTAAGCTGTTTACTCTGAAATCCACTCCTGTGTCCTTACCGTTGTGATGTTCACGGACCTCCTCACGCACCAAAATCCCGTTAGTGTAAACTTTTGTGTGAACCTGGCCCTTTGCTCTTATACTCCCGTCCACGCGGCCGACACGTGCCTGCGCGCGCGTGCTTGTGGAGACCCTTTCTGCTGATGATGGAACCTCCCTTTGGAGAGCTCCCAAAGCGTTTATTATGCCACTTTGTTTTAATGTTTTAATCTATAGATCTGCTCGGACTGACTGTATATATGGAACTGCATTTTCTTTTTTCATTTTCCTTTGATAAAAATATGGATCGATTGAATTTGAGTCTGAAATACATATTGATAATAACGGGATCAGTGACTGTAACAAAACCCAGACTTACGACTTTTAGCATAGCATGAACATTACATAATTTAAGTTTTATTTTAAGCCTTTTAGCCAAATGACAAGGCTGATATGAGTCTATTATTTACTATATTTTAGTGACCTGCTTTTGCTGCACATACATTCATTCACAAAATACAAGCACAGGTTCTAAAGTCATTTTCTCTAATAATTTACGCAGAGTTGCTGTTACGTGCGCGTGAACTTCGTGCGCTATCATCATGTGCACGCGCCCGGGGCCCTAAACTTTTGCCCTGAGTCTTTGTGGAGTCCAGCGGCTGCAGACTCAGCACTCCGCGTTCAGAGGTGCGCTGCTGAATGCCGCTGTTGTTGCGCTGTTCGTATGGGTCAGCAGAGCGGCGTGTGCAGACACAAAGGCCCGGGATAAAAGCACAGAAAGAGTGGATTTGTAAAAGCCAAGTGAGGGATCTGCTTCAAATAGAAATCATATATCTTTTTAGGAATGATTCGAGCTGTTCTGTGAATCAACCATGTATCCTTATATCATTAATACACCCCATTTTAGACATGTTTCAATGTAATTTACTAATTTATTTCAGGCAACGACACAGATAATATGGACACTGGTCATCTGCCCCTTATGGACCAATGCGTTTTAACTATTGTTTTAACTTCTCTGATCTGTGTAGGCAAATTCAACGGGTTTAGTCCTCTGAGACACTGTTGTGATTTAGGGCTATTTGAGAATACATTGAATTGAATTAAATAGATAGGGAAGACAAATACAGCCAAGTCATTTAGTGCAAGAAGATATAGATAACAGACAAAAGTCAATGAACAGTATATGTACAGCTAATCTATTTCTGCCTGAAGGGGAGTGAGAAAAAGATAACTTATTTAGTCCCGCCCCAGTTCTCTAATCATATATAAAGCTTCACTGCTATTTTGTACAAGGATTATGCAATGTTATATAATGGTGACGTTACCACAATTGACAAATGATACCATTGTGACAACAGTATATACCAACAATCTATGAAAATTAACACTATACCAACAACGGTAAGAAACATTGAGCACATGGAAATCTTTACAGTACAACATCAGTTCAGATTAACCCTCATGCCTATATTTTGGATTTTCCTCATTAATATCATTGTTTTAAATTTAGTTGCCTTTACAATCTGCTATTGATGTCATCACTGCCCTTGTGTGTCACTATAGGTATGTAAAAAGTAATCGATCTCTGCGGCACTTGTTGAGCGGACAAGAAACACAGGTCCCCATGGCAACACTATACGTCCTCTCGTGGTCCTCATCCCCTGACATTCCATGAAATGAAAATCAGGACAAACAACTTATGCAGCCTCGATGGAGCTCAGAACACACATGGAGCTGGATCTATGTGAGGAATCAAATCAGAGGAGAGACTCAGAGACCGATCTGAGCATCCTGATGATCCAGGACACTCCACATTCAGCGACATTTATGGACATTGGTCGTCTGCCGCTTATGGACACATGGATCTATGTGGTTTTTTAATAATTGCTTTCCTGAGTTTGAACATTTTGATTCTCAGATCTGTGTTGGCGAATTTGTATAGTCGCCCAGAGATAAATGTTTCGATTTAGGGTTATACAGTGTCAAAAATGTATTAAAATTCCTTACCATACTATATTTCCCTAACAAGTTGAGTACAATATGAGTTCTGTTTGCGTGTTCATGTCCTAATGAAGTCAAAATATTCAAATTAGATCGGTACATTTAATTCCGACCAAAACGTTGGGCTGTCTTCATCCATCCATCCATCCATTTTCTTCCCCTTAATCCATTTCTGGGTTGGGGGGGTGGCAGTCAGAGCTGCACCAGTACACTGCCTTGAAACATAAACTTAAAATCTATTTTGTCCTTTTGTCAGTGAGTCTTTCTGGTCTCTCTCTGGTCTCTCTCTGGTCTCTCTCTGGTCTCTCTCTGGTCTCTCTCTGGTCTCTCTCTGGTCTCTCTCTGGTGAAGTGATGATGCTCGTATCCAATCCAACTGGAAAACACAGTATTACACAGGGACGCAGATGAACCAGTGGATATAAGGCAGAAGAACGAAGGAAGTATTGTTTTCTCAAATTCTAAAGCACAATACTTTTGATGCTAATATATGTAAATGACTGTATCTGCTTTCCCTTTGAATTAAAACTCTTATAAACTAAATGTTTTGGTCGCAATCACTTAGACTGGTTAGATTTTAGATGGAGATATTTGGTTTGGAGCATAAAAGTGTTCACAGCTTAAAAGTCAAAATATTCAAATTAGATCGGTACATTTAATTCCGACCAAAACGTTGGGCTGTCTTCATCCATCCATCCATCCATTTTCTTCCCCTTAATCCATTTCTGGGTCGGGGGGGTGGCAGTCAGAGCTGCACCCAGTACACATAGCACCAGCCCCTCACTGATCCTCCTGCAGGTGGTGAGTCCACAGGAGCTGAGATCTTTCAGTGGGAGCTTCAGGCAAAGTGGGGTTAGGTGTCTTGCCCAAGGACACAACGACAGCAATCATCAGTGGGAGTCGTGAAGTATGTCTTGTGGTGGGCTCAAACCCACAACCTTCGGGCTCAAAGGCCAATGCTCTACCAACTGAGCTACTGTCGCCCCAATTGTTTTCATCATTTCTCTAATTTACATAAAGCCTCTATTTCTTTTCACTTTTAAGTTATTAAGAGGTGAAGATGTAAAAATTGAGCCTCTTTGGAAAAAACCTCTAGCGCTAAAGAGTTAATTTAAAGTTTGGATCTCGTCCTCTCTGTGAGTTTCAGAGATACACGCTGATTAAGATGTCATGTGATGAGAAGAATAAGACAATACAATGTAGATGTGTCATAACTACAATAATGAACTTTTTCATCACACAAAGCAAGTAAAAGATTTTGGTCTCGCCTCAATTTGGGTAAAATGCAGATACTGTGTTTTTTCTTTGTAGGGTGCTCAGCAGGTGAAAGGTGCCTCCCCACAGACCTCACCAGTAACTCTGCCTTTTTTTGGGTCACATGTTTTACTCTATGGAGAAATGTACAATGCCTTGTTGTGAAATGTTCCCGTAGACTAGAGAAAAGCTAATTGTGTGCACATCCATATACCAGTGTATCATTCCAGAATTCTGCTTTTAAACCTTTTCTCCAAATTTAGAATATTCCTGAATATTTTGGACGCATTATGGTTTTACCACTGTCCTCCATGTGACACTCAGACTCTCTCTGCTCAGAAAGGGAAAAACTATATTGCGTTCAATTCATACATTTTGATGCAATAAAACAGAAAGACAGGATGTAGTGATATTTTTTTGGATGTGGATGGATGTGTTTTTGTGTAAAAGTATTGTATAAACAGAAGAGGTAGACAGCTACTCCTTTCTGCAGTCGTAAACAAATCTGTGTAATCATTACGATAAAACACGGAGAACACATGTAAATTGTTCCATGATACTGTATAACCCTATGTTTATACTTATTTAGATATGTAATGGCTCAAAATGTATTCATTCAAGATCATTTGTTGAATTCTAAATCCTTTGGTGAGCTATCTGGAAGAGGCTGGCGAGCTACTGGTAGCTCCCAAGCCCAAGGTTGGAGACCCATGCTTTACAGTAAGATTATTCATATAAAATGCCTATTAAAGCTTGGGTATCTGACTTTCAAACCACAAAAACAATATAATAAAACTTAGTTACTTGTGTTTTAAGTTTTAAGATTTTCACTCATCCCACAGTGAGGAAATGTCAGTGTTGCATCACTAGTTAAAGAACAGTGGGAATGAGGAGCACACAACACAAAATAAGTGAATAATAAGTATAGCACAACTTTGTATTTAAAAAAAAGGATAGCTCTTTATCCAATAGAAGGCTGAAAAAGAGAGCACCATTCCATACCTTTCTTTGTGGAGATCTGTCTTAACCAGACTGTTGTGGTGTCTCACTCTGGTAATAAGAATAATAACAGTTCAAAGTGTTACTGAAACTGCCTTGAAACATAAACTTAAAATCTATTTTGTCCTTTTGTCAGTGAGTCTTTCTGGTCTCTTTCTGGTCTCTTTCTGGTCTCTCTCTGGTCTCTTTCTGGTCTCTTTCTGGTCTCTCTCTGGTCTCTCTCTGGTCTCTCTCTGGTCTCTGGTCTCTCTCTGGTCTTTCTCTGGTCTCTCTCTGGTCTCTCTCTGGTCTCTTTCTGGTCTCTTTCTGGTCTCTCTCTGGTCTCTCTCTGGTCTCTCTCTGGTCTCTTTCTGGTCTCTTTCTGGTCTCTCTCTGGTCTCTCTCTGGTCTCTCTCTGGTCTCTCTCTGGTCTCTCTCTGGTCAGTGAAGTCAAAGTCAATGTCATGACATATTCTTTACTTTACTAAATTGATTATGATTGTTCTGTAATTCAGTATGTGCAGATGTAGCTCTTGTGTGCCTTTATATCCTCGTTCTGAACTATTTTCATTATAATATGTACATTTTGATTGTAATTAACTTTGGGGTTGCGGTGCCCACTCCTTTTGTGCAGTATTAATACTGTTCAAAAAAATAAATAAATATATACAGTACCAATCAATTCTCAGCCCAAATTCTCTGTTATTAGACAAGCAAAGAAAATAACCTCAGACCCTTCTCATGTCCTCTGCTTTCAATATGAGCTCCTCCCATCTGGCCACCGCTACAGAGTACAAACTAGAAATAAGAAACAATATCTAAACCGGTATAAGAACTCGTTCCTACCCACATCTGTGAACCTCCTGAATGCAGCTGTCGAGCAGAGCGGTGATGGTTTATGTCTGTGTTACTGTGCTGTGTTTTTTATGTCTGTCTTATGCATAGACTGTAAATATTAATGGATGTAGTCACGCCTATCTCTGCCGTTCTAACTAATGTGCCACAACTTCTGCGGTCTATGGGCAGCTTCAAAATGGCCGCGGGGGCTGGAAAATGTGAAAAAACGACTGCCTTCAAAAACTCACAGCAAGTAAACTAGACTGGTCCAAAAAAATTCACCCCCCTCAGCATTGACACACATGTGGAACGGAGCTTTGGGCCAAGAGCCAACTTTTGGACCATCCTGACGTTTTCGAGAGGTCAGAAGATGCCATATGTTAGCATTGGATAATTCTTATTCCGGGTCCACCCCCATCGGCCCGGGGT